ATATATATTTATAAAAAAAATTTATGTGTGTGGGCGTGCGGAGTCCTGTCTGTGCCCCTCAACAATAATGTATACTATTAGTCACAGTTTTGCTAAATAAAAGGATCTGGCTTGCATCAGTCACATGATCACTATTAACCAATGATCGCCCTTGACGGCAGAACGCGCTGGTTACGAGCCGGGAACGAGCTCACAAAGAGCACGCGCATTTTTTGCGGTCCGGAGCTGTAGGAGAAACACAAATTACCTCAGAGACGCAGACTTACTATATTTCTTCCATACAGACTGATGCGACAAAACCAGTAAGTAGGTGTACAGCGTACACTGTAGTGTATAGCACACAGGAGCAGAGGCGGAGCCAGACATTTGAAACACCCGGGGCTTAGCCCTAAAGGGTAGTATGCATGTGGTATTTTTTTTTTTTTTTTTTGGGGGGGAGGGGTTAGAAATGACTGAAAGATTAATAGGCTCTGTTTTGAGTTTTGTTCAAAAAAGAATGACTTCATATAGGGAAAAATATATATCACATGTGCAGGACATCTTAAACTAGTTTTTTAATTAAGCAGCAAGGCAGAACAAAGTCGGGGCTGCATCAAGACACGTGGACTAAACCCCAATTCAACCAGGCAGAACTGATCCTGAATTAAAACAGGACTACAACAGTTCAAAATCAGGACTACTGAGGACTTAACCAAGACAGAACCAGAATCAGAACTAGATGATAGTAGCACTAAAAATCATCATAGACCTGCACTACACTTATTTTTTTAATTCTACCAAAGTACAATATTTAGATTGAGAAAACTTTATATAATTATTTATCCTTGTTGTGCAAACAAGCCTGCATAACTTAATAAATATAGAATTTGAAAAATAGCAAACCTAAAAAGAAACACTAGGTACGAGATACATGAGGACCTATGATACGGTGATACTTTTGGCAAATGACCATTTGACTAACATGTGTGTCTCACCTGCTCTTGTTCATCTCTGTTCTGTCCTCATTCTCCATCTCCCTCTCTGTTCCTCTCTCTCCCTCTTTGTGCTGACAATCATCAAATATACAGTTGAAACCACATATTTATGTACTGTTCAGATCAAAACACAAACACTTTTTAATTGTAACATCAAATCGGACTAAATGTTTATTTTTTTTAGATTGATAAATATAAAAACATATTTGTTAACTTTAAGAGTAAAGAGAGAAACTATCTGTATTTCTTAATTGCAAATGGCACCAAATTGTATTCAAACTGAGCCACACTTATGGAGCTCCACAGTTCTTTTTCTGGTGTTTTGGTTGACATCTCTTGATTTTCCCATTTCAAAAAAACAGGCTCTGTGTTTTGCCTTATATGCATCCACAGCTGTGCCACCAGTTTACTCACATGGACTCTACTAACCTATCAGAAGCTTCTTCAGCTCAGAATGGAATCGTCTGGAGTTTCTTACTAATTAACAATAAACTTAATGTATATGTACTCCTAAATTTGATCAAAGTGATAAAAAATAGACAGCTCTGTCTCTCTTTATTCTGACATTTAACTAATTCAAAAGATATTTCAATATTTATCTAAAACAAAAGTTTAATCTAAATTGATGTTGTACAGTAAAAATGTTTTATGTTTTCTCCCTAAAGTGTATGTAAATATCTGGTTACAAATGTGAATATCCTGCTGTGTACTGAAATCCCTCTTGTTTTGCATAGAAATATACTGAACAACATACAAAGCATAATATATAAAATAACATTTACCTGAGTTTTTTCTTTGAAAGAACCCTCTAATGTCCATTCTTATATTTCAGTACATAACTGAAACCGATTTAGTCGGGGAGGGTAAGAACTGAAAATATGAAATAAACACACGTAAGCTAAGACTCTAAAAAAATAGCATTTGTTCGGCTTTTCATTTCGCCATTTGTTGATTCACTTGAAGAGCGAGTAACGTAATATGGGTCAAGTGATCAGTTTGATATCAATCTTTCGTGATGCACCGTCATATTTACATTATTTGTACGGTACGAATGATTTTCTTTGGTAACTGGTCAAACTTAAGCTCTCCTTAGTATGCCTGGCTCCGTCTCTCCAACAGCGCACACAGGCAGCAGCTGCCCCGCCCCCTCGCTCAGTCACTTAGTGCCTGAGCTCGGATCATACCAATATCAGGGGGGATTCACGCACAGTCGTAAATTCCCACAGTGTGCACTATGTGCTTCGAATATTGTGTGTACTTTTTGTTTTATACAGTTGTCAGCCAGGCATCTAACTATGAAAAAATTACACTCCAAAAGACCCCGGGATTCTGACAAAACAACCCGGGCTTAAGCCCAGTAAGCCACCCCCACGCTCCGCCCCTGCACAGGAGTATTGGCTTATTATGTACACGTTGGTAAGTTGTCTTGTGGCAACTGACGAACAGAAAGAAATGAGCGTGCTGTGTGTGCAACAACAAACATTAACTGACCTGTTATTAACTGCACAGGTAGTGTTGGTCATAGCTGCTGGCTCACTGGGTAAGGCTGTCATGGGTCTGTAGCTCTGTCACCGTTTTAGGGAACATGTTTAGTTTTAAAGCAAGTTTCCGGGCTTTTCCTGCCTTTCTGGAGGGATTATATTTCACTAAAAAACGATCTAATATGCATGTCCACATAATTATGCATTATTATAATATTTAAAAAAAACACATGCTGTATTTTAAAGAACATACATTAAGAAACAGATTATATTAGATTTATATTCTAAATAAGACAAAATTTGGATTTTACAGCAGTAAAATTATTGTATCTGTTTAAAAATGTAAAAAGCTTCCCCCTGCACAGAGTGGATAGTGAAACAAATAGAATCATCATAATGACATTATTTCATATTTATTACTTCCCCCTCCTCATTGCTTTATTATTGTAGCTCTAGTAATAAATAATAATGTAAGGATTCTGGATCAGCACCATGATGCCCATAGTATATACAGTATTCTGAAGAAGGTCTAAAATGTCACTGTGTGTGCGTGCATGTGTTTGTTTTATGTATATGGATTATTTTAAATTATTACTCATGATATAACATTGTGCAGACATGGCTGGTAAGGACATGAGGAGGAAACAGTAGGAGCTGTGTGAGGCTACCAAAGGCAGTGCTATAACATTTTTCTGTCATCATTTAATTTTAGATTAAGTGCAAGAGTTGTTAGGTGTGGATAATTAGATTATAGTTTATTGCAATAGCAAGTTGTGCCTTGTTCTCAGATGGACAGCAAGTGGAGAGTGAAATATGAAATGATGGGATGGAAGGAAGAAGAGAAGCAAAGAGTGATTCACAGGCAGAGCCTAAATTATTTCTCACAGTTTTTTATTGCCTTATGGTTCCAAGCGCTGTCACCAATCTTTGCATTTTGTTATTCTCTCATGACACTTGTTGAATCAGCTACCATCTCTCCTATGGACTTTTTAATGTCTACAGTCTCAGATCAGCACAACCCTGCCCTCCAGCACCATCAGCAGCAGGAGCAGCAGAAACCCCTCAACAGCAACATTGTACCCATCAGGTAAAACATAGGCTACGTATGCTTTGCCTTGTCGCCACCTCACAACAGTGATATAGTATGATGCGATCCCATATTAGATTCTTGATGAATGTGTGTTGTTGTTATTCAGCCTGGTTCAATGTGCCCCTTTTTAACTTAAAGGTCTCTGCACGGCCCTGGTGTTAAGAGTGAAATATTAGAGCCGAGTCATGTTCCGCTATCAGTGTTACAACAGATGCATTAATAACTTCAAATTACAGCAGCTTGAGGCGGGGTCACTTTAAATGCTGTCTATTTGGCCATTTTACTTGAGTAATTCAAAAAGAAATGTATTTAATAAACTGACTGTAGTGTAGTTTAACATAACTTCACAATATTTCTACCATTGTTGGAGTACAGTCTTCTTACCTCATTATTAAGGAGGTCTCTGCAGGATATTTGACATTAGTCATTCATGACGTTATTTTGGTCCACAGTCATTTTTAGCACGCTTTCTAAGCCGTTTAAGAGCCTCTCCTAAATCACGCCCAACCAGAACCGTACACCTTGTATCCTTGTTGCTCCATCAGCCACTGAACCAGCCTCATGACGTATTCATGCCATGGTGATTTGTCACCTACTGTAAATTCCAGTAACTCTTAGGTAATAAAAGAGCACAGCAGGTTTCCTGTTACTCTAGCACCGTTGTCCGTGCACAGTTACTTGAATGATCGGCTGTGCGCTGTATCATTAAAAACTCTGTGAAACTCTGCAATGGCCAAAGTGCTAGAAGAGTCTTGCAGTGTCCTTTTTTCCCCTGGTGCTGTTAAAGCAACAGTATGGAACTTTTAAGCAGGAAATGTCAGATTGCTTCACCTCATATTTTCTTGCTGGACCTGTTCTGGTGTGACCAATAACCTTTTATTGTGTCTAATATCGGCCAACTCCAGCTAGAGTTTTGCATTTTAAGTCGGTTCAGAGTTTAACACCTTCAGTGTGAAATATTTTCACATCATTATCACTTAGAGGCTCGGTGGCTGTTACACAGCAGGCTTTCCGTCTGCTTTAAGCTGCTGGATTTAATTCCACATTCTCCTCTTGTTTGGCAAATGTCTCAAAAATGAAGGATCTGTCGAGCTATGCATTTAGGGCTACGTGGGGGAAATTAACAAGACGAATGAATTGTGCTTTCGGTGATGCTAAATAATGAGCAAACAAATATTTTCCCATCACGGAGATTAATTGTCGGTGTGCGTGAAGCCTTTTGCCAAGTCTTTCTTCGTGTAGCCGTGGCCCACTTCTGTCAAGTAATTATGTATTCTGAGGAGACACCGTATGCTTCCAACGTCAGGATCATATGACAGCTAATCGGGGACCGTCCATCAAGCCCAGCCCTGGGACTGAGCCTAAGATGAGACGCTTACCTGTCAATGAAACATAAAGGACATGCAAAACTGAAGTGGCACGCTTTGAAGGGCAGCCTGGAAACACTTTCCCAGATGGTTTTCACAGATATACTTTTATTTATAAAACAGTTCCATCAGAATGGAGCATTCACATTCATTGGTATGCTAGCATTAAAGGCATGGTAGAGTTCAGCTGAAAGGGTAAAGCATGTAGTGGTTTGCCTTTTTTTAGTACAAACATGTACTTAATGTAATGGCAAACGCTCTTTACAAAAATATCAACTGTGTTACTGCAAGATCCTGTTTCGTTTCTGTACAGTGTCAAGTATGTATGAGTATACATAAACGTATCAAAGATAGAAAAGATTATATATACAGGATACATACAAACATTAAAATCATCGGGTTTTAAACATTATTGCAGTTTAAATCGGTCATCTGAGTAAAAACATGGACATCCCAATGCAAGAAATTACAATCTGGAGCGAAACACAACCAAATCCAGTAGCTGCATTTAAAAATGAAGTGATTAACTCTCAAACTGTTCTCTCTCATTTAAGAGTCGACCGAATCTGTAGCCTCGAGTTCAAGCCTTAACCCAAAGAGGATAAAATAAACATAATGAAACCCAGAAATAAATTAAAAACAGCAGTAATAACAATACAACCTGTACAGATATTTCAAATATGTAGGCAAACAGTGTACTCTTAGTGCACAAAATACAGCAAAAAAAGGCGTAGTTGATGCCTCCTGTTCTCAGGAAGTCTCACTTGACCGTTGCAGCTCTGTGGGTGCGTCTGTGATCACCTTTTTCTTCTTCAGTGCCTCCTTTCATATTTGTACTAAAGTGAAATTCGTACAACGTTCGGTGTATTAATCGTTTTCTTTTGGTTTCACAGAATCGATACAAAAGCCTGTTGCCTGGCAAGCTTTGCCGAATTACCAGTGTCTGCCTGAGAAACTCAACTCAGCGTCCTGTGGATTTCACCGCCTCTCAACGTTTGGGAGTGACAGACGAGGACATTCTTCGTGAAAAAGGTCAAGAACCGAATAAAAACTGCCAATCAGCAGCAGCTGCGGGGCAAACTTGAATGGAACGCGTCGCACTGATGGTTTGTGGGGAGGAGGCAGAGCCCAGAGAGCTGAGGACGATGCAGACACACATCAGTGCTTGGCAGATTCATTGTAGTCATCATCACTGCGCTTTGCCTCTCTAGGGGAAGAAAGCCACAGTCCCAGCCGACGAGCTGCCATCAGAACACGTCGTTTGCATCTAACCTTGTGTGGGCGAGTGTGAGACTTAAATCTGTAAGGCATTGAAGTTCATGCACAGCTTCGCAGTCATCGCCTCGGTGGCCACTAAAGTAGCCCAGGTACTGTATGCCCCGTCTATGCTGACACCTGAGACGAGGCGCCGGTGGCACCGCTCTCAGCTGGGTCATAGAAACAGTCTTCGTTCACTACTGAGGTCAGACTCTGGACGCTGAACTCTCTCTCCAGCAACGTGTTGAGGTCCACGGCTCCACACGGCAGCGCTGCATCCGTCTGGCTGTCCAGTGACCTGCTCTGCTCCTTCATCTTCAACAGGGCTCCCGGGCTCCTCCTGAAACTGCACGGTTTCCTCTTAACGGCGGTGAAGTGGCCTCGCACTAGTTTGGGTTGCATCTCCGGGGTGTCGCCAACACCCTCGGGCTGAACGCGGGGGGCCGGTGCACCTTCTGATGCAGAATCCTCCGACAGTTTAAGTTGGAGAAACTGAGCTTCAATTGCACTAGTTGGGGAGCTGCTGTCTCCGCTGTCCCTCCTCGTCCCCCCCTCGCTAAAGCCGTCGTCGTCCTCGTCGCTCAAAATGTCAGACTCTTTCACAGAGGTGGAGCGGGGTTGAGAGTTGGAGCAGTGTGTCTGAGACCAGTTCTGCTGGACTGGAAAGATGGGCGAGTCGGAGGACACGCGGGCTGGAGGAGCCCCGGACAAACTGTAGGTTCCACTGCTCAGGCTTCCCTCGTCAGAGTCTGGCCCGAGCTTCGGAGCCTCGCCCTGGGTGGAGAGCTCTGCAGGCGGCTGCTTGCACAACCAGGAAGCTCTGGAGGAACCTAGAAACAAAGGTGGGGATGGAAATTCCACTGTTATCTGAGCTGAACACTTGCAGCATAAGCAGCCGAGTGCCAGCCGAGCGTTAGGCGGCCAAATGACTTCAAATTCCAATCGACAAGAATTATTTTTATAAAGAGATGTTTTTACAGGAAACCTTCCCAGGAAGACGTGCCTGGTACTAAAAATGAGTGTGGAGTGTTTCATACAACCTAAACTGGATGAAAGATCTCCATAAGAACGCTTCAGAAACCCACCTAGCCTGGCGGAGGAAGGCAGGGTGCTCCTCAGAGGAGCCAGGTGCTCCTTACAGCTCCTCTCCAGCGTGCCCTCGCCCTTCATGTTCCTCCTCACGTTCTCCCTGAGGATGGAGCGGATCACCTTGATGATGCTGACCTTGCTCTCAGGCACACTGAGAAGAAACCAGAGGTATCGCAGTAACGTGAGAACGGGGCATGCTCAGTTTGATTTCACAAGCTAAATATAGATTAAGATTTGCGAAGGGTTCGTTGTGTCCCCGGCGAAATTACTGATGTAATTTATTAGGACTGATCCCGATTTCATAGTATGTAATGAGAATCACCGATTTAGTCACAGGCTCTCTCGCTACAGTTCCCATGTAGACTGTTTGTATGAAATGGGTCTTTTTGGGGGGCAGAGAAGAAGTAGCTTTATTTGATTATCTAACATTATGGATAAAATGTTCTATTAATAGAAAACTTAATTAACCATTTCCAGCCGATAGACTATATTCTTTAAGAATTCTGGGTCATTATTAATGTGACAGTCGTGTGAAATATGTGACGGCTCCTAAAAACCAGAGTTTATCCAAACATCTTTGGACGAGAGGCCGACATTCAATGTGATCTACAAACTGCTCATTGCAAACATCATGACAGTTTGTATCGACTAAACTAGTCTGCAGAGTTTTCCTTTGTGTTGACGACCTGTCAAAATATTTTACTGCTCGTATTTCTTTTGCTGTCTGACTTCGTTTTCGCACCATGTCACGATGCTCCCAGTGTAGCATTAACTTAAAATCGGTGCGTTTTTAGAAAGCTGTGATTTCACCTAAACGCTGAATCTCTGACCTGCTGCACAGCTGGAAGACTGTCTCTGGTCTCCCCTCCACTTCAGACCTGGAGTGAATCAGCTCCCAGATATAGCTGCTCTGCGTACCTGTTCCTAGGAGAGCCGGGAAATAAATGAGAGGCCTTTAATCATGTGGTGCGTGTATGGTTTATGGTTTCAGAGGGAGATAAGAGGGGTGGAAGCTAAATAGAAATGTGGGTGTGTGGGTAATGCGAATGGGCTGAGGGAAATATGAAAGGAGAGAGATTTAGTGGATGTACTTTGTGAGTGATTTGTTGGGGATAATTTGGAAGCGTGTCGGCCTCTTACCTGCAGTATTTCCCAATCTGACCTGCAGAGCCGAGAGCGGGATGAGCCAGCGGAACTTGAAGGGGTCCGAATCTCCGTGAGAGAGCGCCGAACGAGGGTTGGCCTGGCATTACAAGAAAAAAGAAAAATGGGGTAAGAGAGAAAATGTAACGTTTCACACCAAACGCACTCGATGTGGGAACGTGACACAAACATACCATTTTTTTCTTCAGCTTGTTGTTTTCCCTGCAGACCAATATCACTGCTTTCTTGAACACTGGTGAGAGAGCGCGAGAGAACACATGAGCGTCTTGGATTTGACTGTGCATGCCTCTTGGGGAAAGCCGACTGAGGGAGCGCAACCACAGAAGCATTTTAAATGCCAGCTTGAAGCCTTAAAGCATATATCAGCGTTACAGCTGTGGATATTAAAATTCTGTTCCTGCACACTATTCTGTGCAGCAAACCCAATACAGCTGGTTTATATCGATTCACTTTCTCTACTGCAAACATCCACGAGTGACAATTAAGGGAAATGGTGAAAAATAAAAAGGGCTGACTCACCGAACACGGTCATTTCGGGGTCTTTTCTCATGCGGCCCAGCGACGGATGAGGGTTGAGCCAGACCACAGAGGAATGCATGAGAAACTCTCCCATAGAGATCTCTGTGACCTGAGAGAGGCGTAAGGGACGGCAGACAGTTTAAGAGAGAGTCGAGGCAGGCGCTGAGCTTTTTACGGCTCAGGCTAAGCGTGTCTGTGAATGGAGTTGCACTGCACACTCGGGTTTGTGCACAGGCTCAAAGCTCAGGCAAATTTAAAAACACTGAAAGCATACGTGAACATAGAAAACATGATTTGGCTTTGAGTAAATATTACATCAATTTATAAATGTATTCAGACCCTAGAGGCGTGCGCATCACCTAAACTGCTGCGCTCTGATGTACTGATGGAAACTCCACCAAAAATACACTAATTCACCTCTTTATCGTGGCCAGTCTGCTCGGCAACAAGCTGATCGAACACGGAGCCGTAATCCTCGTAGATCTTCTGCATCTCGTTGATGTGGCTGGCCACCTTCTCCATGGCTTTCAGGGCCTCTGCAGACACAACAGAGTGTTAACAGGACCAAGTCGTGACCCTGTGGGTGACTGTGTTCACCCTGTACTGGAAAAATGCCAAAGGTTATCACTTAATGTTTCCACGTGCGACTAACGTGACACCGAAATGCCGAGTGTCAGCACGGCCTGTTTATAGCACAGCGCTTGATTGCACGCAGCCTTCCTACCGGTGAGGTGGTAGTGTTCCTCGCTGTCGCCGTCGGTAAGGGAGACCAGCTCCCTCAGCAGCAAGGGGTACTTGAGCACCCTCTGCACTGGTTTAATCAGGTAGGACTCCAGGGTGGAAGAGTGCTGCTTGGTGGGGTTCCTGGCATCGAGGAATTCTTTGAAGGTCTGATCCGTCTTGGCTAAAGGAAAGAAACACTCAGACTTAATCTGGATCTTTTTAAGCCGTCTGTTCTCTTTGCTTCTGGTCTATGTTTCGGACCGTGGCTACGTTATTAAGCTCTAACCTACTAAAGCAAATGTGGGTCAGTGCAGAATCGCGGTGCAATAATGCGTCTCCAGCAGGGGGGAGTGTGAGCTTCTCCACCTGCTACGACCACTGTGGTATCAAAGTGTAAATCTTTGATGCTGTAACATTAAATCTGGTAAAACACCAAGTTGGGGCCGCATGGTTAACGTGAAACAGCAGGTATAAGACAGAGCAGGCCTTCGGTAAAGGTGCTGACATTTTCCCCGAGCGCTATGCTTCCACAGCGTTACCGAGGGGGGCCATTAAAGTATTAATTATAGCACTGCCAGCCACAGACGTGCAGCCACGTCGACGCCTCGCAGAGTAATTGGCAGGCAATTAACGAGTCGACAAATAAACAGAAACTAAGGCAACCCGGGCCCCATGGCGTGGCAGAAGAGGGAGGGGGGATGAAGATGACAGAGATGAGTATATAATTACTTAAAGGACTCACAACAGCCGCAGATTTCTGCGATGTGTTGTGGATCAGCTGCTCGTGACCAGAGGTGCGCTGGGTGTTCTCGGTTTTGCTGAGCCAACTAGAAACTCGCACGCCGTCACTTATGTTCTACTCGGCTGTTTTATCCGTACTAAGCAAATATTATGCTTCCTGCTCAAATATCAGTTTGCAGTCGTCAATTGTGAGCAGCACAACCCGTCATTTAAAGCTTTGGCTAAAAGAGCGGGTGCACAAACCCGGTGAATATCTGGCATCTATTTCCCTTACTCAAACACTTGGAACCATTTTGTGCCAAGCTAGCACCACCCGCATGCTGAAGCACTCAGGAATAATCACTACGCCAAAATCACAGATGCTTATGGGGGGAAAATTTTACCTAATACATCTACATATCTGAACAATTGGTTAAAAAAATAATCTGCATCTTCAAAAAATAACAGGAGGCTTTACCTCTGCAGCAAAACATCTTTTTATAGCCTGCTTTTAAGCATATCATTAACATAATTTACAAGATCAAATCATTTTGACTGTTCCTAAAACGCTTTCAAGTGTTGCTGGTTAACCATCCTCAAGGTACTTTAGTGATTTTGTCCCATCTAATCCTATTAAAGATCAGCCCTGCTGCTTCCTTCGAGGAATATCCCACACAGCCTCCCACACAGCCCCGTCAGCTAAGAAGCCAATCTGCTTACACTCCTCTCTCTCTACTGGGCATTCATCCCAAATAGTGGCGGAAAGGCCAACATCTGAGGAGGCATAAATCAACTTTAAAATTTCTCCAGCGTCACATGCTGTGGGAGAAGCGAGAGTTATTGTCACGGTCACACATCTGCTGTTAGAGGACAAGGTTATCCAAAGCCAGAATATTTATATGTGCATGTATTTGTTTAAACATCATCTGTTTGAGGAGAAAAGGGCGATAATGCTTTGAAAGTGTCGATCACAAACTGAAAGGTGGAGAGCCGTGTGCTCCTTCGTGCGTGGTGCTGGAGATGGAGCGGGACTGGTGCTAAACTGGAGAGGCATCGCTCACCTCGCTTTCACCCACCGTCTCACTCTGGGACATTTACTTTCATACATAATTGATTTGCTTCCCAAAAGAGAAGACCGAACCTTCAGCCGTGAGCGGCCGAGCTTCCTCTGACGCAACACAGGAGCACGGAAGCTAAATTTAGCGGAGGTGGATTAGTTTGTTTTTGCATGCTGTTTCTCGTTACTATGCAGAATATTAAGATGTGTGTTGTACCTCTCTCTAGGACCTTTTGGACCTTGATGTGGTTGGCACAGAAGCCGCTGTAGAGCTTGAAGTGATCGGCGTAGTAGAGGAATGAACCCCCGAGGGAAAACAGCAGCTTCTGTGAAGAGATGGGGGGGGGGGGGGGGAAACACCAGTGTGAACACAAAGCACGAGAGAGGATTGGAGGGTGTGAACATGTGAAGTCACGACTGAATCACCGTGCCCTCCCTTCAAAATGCCCCCTCTGTCCTCTTCCTCTCACCCAGCCTCTTCAGTACACTGGCTTTCAGCAGCTCACAATCCGACCAGTGAACCGCCGCCGCGATCGATAGACCTCACACCTCCTCACACTGAGGCCATAAATCAGCCGATGACGCTTCTGTTGCACCTCAATTATTTAAAACCCAACACCTGAAAGATCTCTCTTTTCTCTGTAGCCTGTGTGGATTCGGGACTGAATCTTTAGATATTTAACAAACAGCGTGACGTTTCTCTACCTAACGGAGTAACGGAATACACGTACCAGCGTTATGCATTTAAAATACAAAATATGAGTAACTGTATTCTGTTACAGTTACCGTTTAAAAAGGTTCAGAATACAGTTACTTTGTTGAAATAAATGGATTACAGTGTGGTCGTTTCCTGTTTCATGTTAGGCTATGTCCTCCCTATTTTTGGTATTTGGTGGAAACCCAAACAAAACGCGCATTAAGAGGCTCTAATGTCTGTGTCTCAATCTCGCAGCCCATGTCACCTCTACTACACCCCACATAATGACGGGAAATTAAGTAATGGAAAGTATTCAGAATACGTTACAAATACATTTTGTAATCTGTAGTGGAATACATTTTAAAAGTAACCCTCCCAACACTGCTTACCTTGAACTGCGAGGGGGTCTCCAGGGTGCTAAAGTCAGGTGACGAGGCAATTCTCTCCTCCAAGGTCTGCAGGAAGACCCTCTGGAAGTCCAGCATCTCAGGCAGGCTGCCAAACAGACTCTCCATCTTTGAGGAGGCAAAAGGGAAGTAGAACAATAGTTAGAAAGAGGAGGAGAAGGAAGCGACACAGGTGAGGACGTATGAAAGAACATCAGAGGGTGAGAGAGTGTGTGGCAACGAGGAAAAACAGACAGGATAGCTTGTAATTCATAGCAGACGGCACCCCAGAGTGTTATAACAGCTCCACTGTGATGGCTCCATCTCTGACAGAGGCACTTAGGGACAAGCTACAGCCGCGCACAAATAAAGCACATATAAATGGACACAGTAAACTTCAGCTGTGTAACAAGCGCTATCTGACACATCCAGCCAGGGTCGCCTCTTCCTTTCATTAAAAGCTCGCGTGCCCTTGTCTGTCCTGTGTCCGGTCACATTCCGGTGTCCAATAATGGCCTCTTAATTTGCCCCGATGCTTAGAGGCCCATCAGCTGGTGTGTCTTGGTAATACTTGGGAGAGATGTGCTACGTTTGAGGTCACAGAGCTGGAAAGTTGCGTGCTACAGCAACGATATATGCTGTTGAGTTGTTAAACGGAGAAAAACAGTCCTTCTTTAATGAAGAGTACGTGCAGTGGACAGCCGTGCCGTGGCATATTAAGCTGAGGTGGGTTGGCTCTTAAGCCGCCCTTTATTGGTGTGGCCCTCTGAGACGCCGGAAGGTCGGCGGACGAGAATGTTAATTTGTCCTCCAGGCAGTTGGAGCAGTAATGAGGGAGATTTGGCCCGGCAGAGTTCATCGATGGATAATAAAAGCTCCACATATTAGGTGTCCAACAGAGTTAGCATACGTAAGTTTTCTTAGGGTGGCAAAATCAAACCACATGCAGGTGGTTACAGATGGTTACAATGATTCAAATGCAGTAAGTATACATGTTTTTCATATAGTCTATAACTTAATTACTTTCTGTAGCCCACATAATTAAACACTTTAGTTACATAAAAAACGTGAGTTTTGATTTTATGTACTATATAGTCTGTATAATAAATAAGTCTAAAATCCAGAAAGCTACACAACATGGGGCGGTTCATCTACAAACACACGTCTAATTTAAGTTTCACTGTTTTGACCGTGGCTCAGGGGTTGGGGAATCGCACCTGTAACCGGAAGGTCGCCGGTTCAATCCCTGGGCTCTCTGTCCTGGTCGTTGTTGGATTAACCCTCTGAGGTCCAAAATATAACCGGACATTTTTGATAGCGTAGTGGTTTGACTACACACCTTTGGAGCGGAGGATCACAAGTTCGATTCCCACCTGGGGTGTCTGTATCCAGTAAGGGTCCAAAGGCTAGTAGACCCCCCCCCATGCTAACCAAGCCTACAGCAGATTAGGCTGAGTGAGGAAGTAGGTATGATATAAATGCCACGGCCAGGACGCCAGGTCAGGGGAGAGATCACCCCCACCTGATCGGGGTGGGGTGATAGGAGAAGGATAGTTGAGTGCGATAGGAGGATAAATAATTCTCCACCTACCTCATCCAGTGTGAGGAAGGTTTCGTTCTGTAGAGGTTTCAAGTAGATCTCAAACAAACAGGTCAGGTCCTGAAACAGAAGTGGTCAGCACTTAACCTTTGAACCTCTTATCAGATCACCACCACAGCCCCTAATTCCCCCACTCCTTGCGGGGACTGTTGTACTCATTAAGTTGATATATGGGCTTTCCCCTCCCCTAGTTGCATGGTGAAGATGCCTAAAATCAGGCCACACTTTGAAGACAATCCTCTCCCTCAATTGCAGGCTGAAGAGGAGGCGTGTGGGGGGAGGAGACTAAATGAAAAATGGTAGGTGGGGGAAAAAAGGTTATAAAATGACTGGCCAGACAGGCTGAGCGACTACTCACAGCTAACAAATTCTTCTGAATGCTTGTTTTATGCTCCTGATCTCTTGTTCATCATCTATTAAAGTAACCTTACATAAAAAAAAACCCAATTTACAATAAGGGCACAGCTTTCTAAATCATGATGTGAAGTTTAATATTAGAAATTCTTTGCTGGTCTCACCTTCACGTAGGACTTCTCCGTGTCCACCAGCTCCTGGATGACCTTGCGTAACCTCTCTGTGGCCGTCATATGCTTGGGGCAAGGTCTGAGCAGGGCAGCGTCTCCCGTAGGGCTCGAGCCCAAATCCCCTCCCTGCCTCACCGAGGGTTCCCCGCCGTGATCCATCAGACCCCCGCTGCCCGAGCCTGACCCTTCCTGGAAGGAGTGGTAGAGAGTGCACACTGTGTCCACGCTCTGTAGGGGGCGACAGAGAGAGAAGGTGGTGTATGTAGGTTAGGCAGGATTATTATAGTCAGCTGCATAAAATAAGAAGATATTGCACTGTATGATGACACGCACGGCCTGAACACAAACTCTCACGGATCCATTTAAAGATCCCTCATTTAACCATCCACAGCTAATGACTGCAGCCCCAAAGCTGTGTAAAATAACCACGTGGATCACTCCACCCTGCGCTTGGTCAACGATCCCCCTGGGTACAGTAAGAGTGTTACTGAGATTTAGTTATGTACTCTGTGCTAATTGGCTTTGCATCAAAGACTTTACAGAATTAGCAACTGGATATCCCAGCAGATAGCATTACAGCACATTTCATTATTCTCCATAATCCATAATAGACAGTTATGCAGCTTTGTGTCACGTCGATTACAGACAGTCTGACATGGCAAGAAATCCCAAGTGGTCGTATATTAGTGTGAAATATTTGGTGTTTGATGAAGAGGAAGTCTCAACCTTCCACACATAAATGAGTCATTTCTTCCAGCTTACACCTTTGATGGGTGGAACCCCATGAAGAACTTAGCGTCACAGCATTTACAAAAATATTCTACAGAAGCAGATCGCTCGCATCCCATTTTAGTGGACTGTACCGCCCGGGGTGGGGAACTTAACATCAGCCGTCGGCAGCGCGCTGTGAAGTTTTGCCTGTGGCAGGTAAGACTTTCAGAGCAATCGTGTCAGAAAGTGAACTATTAGGAGCTGCTCTGTTCTACGGAAACAAGAAGCAAAAGGGGGAAAAAACCCTCTCTGTTGTTTCCAACTTACACCATTGTTGCAATGTTTGGGTTGCAGTTAGCAAGCACTGCAATACATGCAAACTATGCTCAAGTAATCAAAATCCTACCTACTAATTTCTTACCTGACAGGCGTGTCAAGCAAAACACTTCAACTGCAGCAAGCTTTGCTGCTATCAATTACCTTTGATGCTTGTGATAAAAATGGCCTCATGATGCCCAGACCCCCTTATTCCAAGTGAATGGCATGATGTAGCATTGTAATCTGTGGCCAGTCACAAAAAAATCAGCAGGAGCTGATAAATGCCAGTAATAGCAGGTTCCAGTCCGCTGCACAGCAACACAGCACAGCAGGACAGCCAAGACGCCAAACAAAACAGCTGCTCAGCACTCTCTGCCTCCTCGTGCATGTGCTGCTATTTAAAATATTGCATAAGCAAGCAGTCAGTCGCAGCTCCCTCTCAAAACTGTGCAGTAACAGACGTGGATCGATAAAACCTTCATTTTGTCACTACAGAACCGATACGCTGCCAGGAAGTGTGTGAGAGCTCACCCGAGTCACGCATCTTCTCACAGTGTGTGTGAGGTACGACCCGTAACCCCCCAGCACCACCTCCGCCCATTCCCAGGGAGACCGCAGATAATAAAGTCTGCCATTAATAAGCTTGCGACTCATCAGCTAGCTCATTATAACATGGTCACTCCAGAGACGGCCCTCCAATACTCCAGCAAAGACTGTGTGTGTGTGTGTGTGTGTGCGCGTGTGTGTGCGCGCGTGTGCAAAGACTGAAAAAGAGAGAAGAAAAAGGGAAGGGGGAAAAATTCCTCTCCATGCCCTTTATGTATGTCTGGGCTAAGCCTCTTTCAAGTGATCCACCTCCCACTGTAGCTCCACTCTGGAGGTCTTTGAATGTGGGCTGATAATTATGAGGGGACTTGAAGTCTCCCTGTGCTCTGATGTAGGGACTAATGTTCCTAGTGGAGAGCACAACACAAGATGCACTCATGCTGCAGACATACCTGTATAAATGTTTGCAGTGAGAACCACAGCAACGCAGCAGTAATGCTGCTCACAAATAGCATTTTTCTTTAGCTAAAGCTAGCATCATGTCATATTGAGCATGTTTGAGGTGACAGGAAACATTTAATGCGACTGTGCGCGTGTCATTTAGCATTTAAACGCTTTCAAATCTGAAGCGATTCAAAGAAACACGAGGATATTGGAACATAAGTAGAGCTGTTGACACAGGCTATCCCTTTAAAGATCATAAAATCCACCTCCAGCACTGATGCTGCTGCCACACACACACACAGCACCAGTCAGCCTTCATTCACTGATACACGCTTTGGGAGAACTCCATAATGCACCATGGAGGCAGACGGTGGGGGGGCTGCCTGAAGGAAACACAAAGGTTGAAGGATATCAGCAGGAGATATTCATCAAACAGCCCGCTAGTATCTCCAGACAGGAGAGAGCATCCTTGTGCAGACAGATAACTGTGTTTTATTTCAGCTCTGGCACCCGAAGGTGAGGTTTGCCCAGGTCTTTAGAGACCTCCATTCAAGTGCCGACTTGATTCTTGTTACACACCCACACACACAAACGAGATGATGGAGGAGCCGGGTGAGGTGGGGGGAGGAGGGGAAAACACTTTCAGCTCTCACACAGGTCGCTTAGTAAGATTTTCATCAACGCTAATGACGGACGGAGCGTGATGAGAGAAGGAAAGCTGGTGGGTGGACGCCACGCAGTCATGACTCGGGAAATGCATTCGCCTCACAACAATCCCACCGACACAGCCTGACAGCTAGCCCAAATAACCAATTAAGAGCTGAGGACGTGAACCAGCAGAGGCGGGAGAAAAGCCAGGGAGCGCCACGGAAAACAAGCGGATCTGACAGCGCTGCTGTGAATTCCTGATCAGGTTTTCTTGCTGACAGGTGTCAGCCGGGGATAGTGTTTCGACTTCTGCTCAAACCAATTTGGAGAAGAATTCTTCTTATTTTGTCTGTGATGCATTTCCAGCTGCATTTCTTTTTATTTCCGCTCGTCTGCCAGCTGTCCGTTTCCTAGATCCCCGAAATCAAAGCCAGAGATTTTAATTCCAACGTCAAGTCAAATAAAAACACTTTACTGTCAATCCAAACATCCCAAACACAACAATCAAGCACAACCTACACCTAGTTTCCTTCTCCAGCGAAGCCAGACTACATCTGTTTAAATGTTTAATCCTGATGGCTCTAAAATCTCCTACTGAAGCTCATATTTTAAGGTTTAAACCTCCACTACCTCTCCCAGTCTGCGAGTCACCATGACGAGCAGTCTGTAGAGCAGCCTCCATGCTGCCGTGGCCTGCTGTTGGGTCCTGCGGGCGAGCGAGCAGCTCTTCCTGCGTAGCCGGCCTCCTCTGGACATTGGCATAACAGCTCGGAGAGAGTGAGCTCAGAAGTTTACTTGACCTGCCTCGATTCTTTTTTTAATTCCCTCTGATGATCAGTCAAATACCCTCATCAACTTTCCTCCTCCTTCTTCTTCTGCGGTTTCTCTTTAGCTCGCCGTTGCCCGTCTCTCCATCAGGCCCAAGTCAGAACCCTCAGACTTCAGTGCACCTCAGCCTCTGGGGCGGAGTGGCCACTGGTCTGTGAGCGTAGGCAGAGAAAAAGTGCTTGCTGCCTGCTTGTTTTGCATATCAGTCCGTAGCGGACGGTCTGGCCACTTGGCCTGTGGGGGAATTTCTCCTCCAGGAGCTATTACTCTCTGTCGCCGCGTATCAGCGTTGCTCTTCCGATGTCTCTACCGCCACAGACTGCCATCCATCCTACTTCCTTTTGTCCGTTTGCCTCCAGATATGCCTCCTGCTTCTTCCTCTCCTGTTCAGCTCCAGGTGACCTCGCTGGTGTGATTTCCAGAGAGCTGAATTGAGAGGCTGGGGGCTGTATCTGGGTCCAGTCTCTCAATAGCGACAGTACAATGCAGACTGTTCTGGCTTGTTACCTCTACACACACAGGAATGGCTGACTCAAAACTGGGAGGCTCTGAGCGGGTGGGGGTAACAGTGCAGGAATGTTAACTATGGCCTCGTACAAGAATAAAACATGACATGCATCGCTCGCTCGCGGGCTACTACATGTGGACAGAAATAAACAGATGCTGGATGGTTTTAACAACAAACTATAATGGAACCATTTTTCTCACCTCACTCGGGTAAATAAATGTAAGGGATTACAATTAGGAAGGTTAGTTATTGTCCTATAGCTTCCTGCTACTGTTCTTTTACTTCTACTTGCACTGCAGCTTCCTGCCTGGTTGTAAAATGCTGTGTAAATGCAGTATAGACGTGTAAGACACCAAACTGCATCTAACACTGCAGACCTGCGTTTCAAGTTCTGCCAGTAGGTGTGTGGAATCACAATCAGTTCTCAGGTCCTCGATGATTTTGTAGTAAACGTGACATGAACATCTCATTTTGACTCATGGTGGCGGCGCACAGCGGGAGGGGAGCGGTGGAGGAGAAAGGGAACGGCATCTGACAACAGTTCGCAGCCTGATGCAAACCAAGGCTGTGGCGCTTCCTCTTTCGCAACTTAACCCCCAGCTGTTGCTCGTTGGGCAAGTTTGTCTGCAAAGCCTTCACACCAAACTTCCCAGTTTTTTTAAGCAGGCAATCATCATCAGCTAGAGCAGAGCTTCTAGATACAGCTAATCACCTGCTTTCAGTCCTCGTCTTATATATTTGCACCAGACTCAGTGAATGCATAATAACAGACGTCTTCCTGCCAAGCCCAGATTTGAGCAGGAGCATCCTCGGCTTTGGCATATCGGGACTAAACTTTACAAACTGCACCAAACGAGATTAAGTTCTGTTTAAATTTGGACTCCTCTCACCCCGCGGTCATCCGTCTACGTCCTCAGTCTCCTTAAAGAGACAGTGTTTTCAGTTCGTGTGCACATCCACATGCACGTACAATATTTTTTATATTGAGTAAGCTAGTAAAGCATGCCGCTGCATAATTAAGTCTCACTTATTTTCTCCAACTCTGGGCAAAAACACTTGGAGAAAACAAAAGAAAAAGAAAACACAGCTGAGCTCTGTCAGAGTGGGAGGATGCAAGATAAACACTAAACAGCATCTCTATCTCCCTTTTAATGCTCCGATGGAGTCATTATGTACAGAGCTCAGTCTGCCTTGCAGATGAAACGTTGCTCAAATCAAAGGAGAAGCCTTGCGCTTTACCGGCGGAGGAGCCCCATCTTTGCAGGAATAAACAAACAAATGCGGGGAGAGAGGAGATAAGGAGGAGGGCATGAAAAACAGGCGTGTCCCCGGGGCTGGCGTCAAGCATCCTTCAAAAGAAACAGCCTTGTCATGACACCGTGAGGCCGAGAAAGAGAGCGCGCGAGAAAGAGCGGAGGCCTGTGGCCGGTGGGCAGGCCGGTGATTCATTTGCCGTGTTAGTGGGCTATAGTGCCACCATGCCATCTTCTTTTCAAAGCTCAATAAAAGAAGACGCGCACTCATAAATCAAACAGAGCAGAGGGGAGGAGAGAGAAATACGAGCGGGGAGGGCCGGCCCCGTCGCGCTCCGCTCGAGCCCATTTACGCCTTTTATTATTCATCCTAAACAAATATTATTCCGCCAAGTCTCCGAGGACTTTGAGAGAGGAGTGTGTTTTAATAATGAAGCCAGCTTCACATTAAAACACCCGTTCTGCTCAGCCCCCGAGGCTATTCACATGCACTCCACTGCATTAAAGCCAGAAGACAAAGTAATGCCACGACTCTATGCTGTTCCCTCTCAAAGGGATGCCCACAACTGAATAAAAGGTTAAGTGGCGATGCTTGTTGCTGATGTTAAACACCTCTCGATGACAAATAATTCACAGTAATGGCAAACGTCGTTCTCTAGACCGCATCCGACCCAGAAAAGACTCAGAAGTGAATCAGAAGCAAAGGATCCACGATACAGCAACAAAGACAGCAACTACTTATCAACAAGTAACACTGCAAGTACACTCCCAACATAGCATTAACGCTGGGAAGACACTATCCCAGTGTATCCCAACACTATGACTCTTTACCTTCTTCCACCTGCTGTCACCACGAGCCTAAAACAGAGCTGCAAGCACACGTTGTTTCATTACTGCTAAGAGCCTCTGACAGTAAAACTACTCCATGCTTGCATTTGTTAGATTATTTTTACTGCACACAGAGGAATGTGGGCTGGTTGTGTGAAACTTTGCAGCTTAAAGTGTGAAGAGTCTGTACTATCAGCCATCCCAGCCCCACACAGAAAACCACGAGCCCATCCGCCCACAGTTACCGGCTGTTTGCCTTCCTTGGAGTCTCTCTGGCAGGACAAGCAGGCGGTCAGGTCCTGGACCACGCAGGACAGCTTGTCTTTCAGGAGCCGTCCCAGCCTGAGAAGCGCAGATCCTAAGAACGGGGATTTTTCCTCAGCTTTGCAGCCAAACGGCCAGAACCAGCAGCAGCACATGGCTGCGACTGCGCCCAAGGCCTGAACCAGCGACCGACCCCTCTGAAGCAGCTCAAATAAGATGGTGAGGCAAAGGCATGGCCGGGGATCCTCATCCTTTTCTGCTAATGCCATGGCCATGCTGGGTCATTGTGCATCGGGATCCCCGTTGCTTCCTCCGTCACTCAGTTTTTATGTCCACGTCTGGAAGTTCTTACTGTGGAGTGGACTGAGCAGGGGAAGGCTAGCATTAACTGTGCTGACAGCAGTAAGCCTAGATTATTAGTATGCTCGTGGCCAGATGGCGGCTTAGTCATAACACACAAGCACTTCCACAAATTACCCACACCTACCCACCCCTCACACACACGTCTGCTCAAGTTTAGAGGGGGGTGACGGTAGCTTCAAGGAAAACAAAATCATCTGTGAAGAAGAAGATACAACCTCACATCTGCAGGCATGTGCCAACGTTTTGAAGTTTGGGATCCATGATAAGAGGGGAGAACTAAAACATCCTCCTCACAAGCTTTTAAAACATATTAAAACACCTCAGACTCGTCCAGCCCGCAGACAGGTGCCAGAGTCCAGAGAGCTGAAGAGTAAAGATGTGAACAAACGGTGCGAGCCTGCTTATTACTCAACTTAATAACATCACTGCCTGAATCAAGCCAAATCTCGCTGCACTGACATCCAGACAGAGCATGGCTCCAGTCATAGCGCTCTTCATAAGTCCATTCAAATGCTCTTAGTGAAATGTCTCGTCTGGACAAATGCAAAGAAGCTTAATATGTCTGTCCGCTGTTTAACCTTTGGTTTAATGCAAAAGATGACTGTCTGCTTTGCTTTGCATTGCATCAAACACAAACCGCAGAATTTATTATGTCATCGTTCATATACAAGGACACATATACAATACACCTGAGCTCAAAGCTGCACTGACTGGTCCGTTTCCTTATTGATTATTTTAACCGCAGTTTTCCCAATAAGTGAAAGAAGTCGATTAAACCCTCAGAACAAACTTGGGAAACTTGAATTTAAATGATTTTAATCAATCACTTGCATGCGGACTGGTGTCATGTGGTGAAACCAGATTACTTCCCACGTCCTTCCATCTGTCTAATGGGATTGCACAGCATCCTATAGATGCTTATGTTCTAGCGCAGCAGCGCGGCGGTTAGCGCCGACGCATCACATGCAGTCCGGGGCCTTTCTGTGTGGAGTTTGGATGTTCTCCAGTGGGGTTAGGTCATTCTCTATTGACTGTAGGTGTCAATGGTTTTCTGCGGCAGATTGACTACCTGTCCTGCGAGAGCTGGGATAGGCTCCGCCTCCCCCCTGCAATCGTCTGCAAGCAGAAGAAACTGAACGGACGATGTGCGAGAATCTGCCGATCGAGGCTCCGCTCACGTCTTTCAGACCACTTTAGTTCACTTCGTCTGCTGAGTGGCTCAGCTCATTATGGTACAACAACACTGTTAAACCGATTGCAAAGGCGCTCACCATCCAAACGTTTCATTAAATAATAGAAACAATCATTAACTCAACGGTAAACAAAGCCGTTAACTTTGCCTGGTAAGCGTTTCAGCTCACACACACACACACACACACACACACACACACACACACACACACACACACACACACACACACACACACACACACACACACACACACACACACACACACACACACACACACACACGTAATAAGCACAAATTGGACTGCAATAGACTAATTAATCAAAAACGATCAGTCAGGTTGAGGCAGCTGATCGCATGTGTGACAAGAGGCTTGAAATTGGTCCTTCCCTTCCATCAATCTCTATCGACTGTGCGAGCAGCGTGTGCATGCACGTGTGCAGCTCTGTGCTGATGCATGGCCGGTTTTCTACCCGGTGACTCGATTTCTTTCTGCACGCCCTGGAGAACAAACTGATGGCTGCGCGTTGATTAAATCCTTCTGTGCGCAGCAGCAAAAATCTGATTTACCAGCACCGATATCTCACCCTGTATTTTATTTCTTTTTAATTTCCTTCACAGTGGTTGATTCCCACCGATGCAGAGGGGGAGCCCTTTTCTCCTTTTTCGTGGCAATGTGCACACATCCAGTGGCACGAGTGACACGGACACGCACACACTCATAAACCTCCCTCTCTCGCGCACAGCCGCACACCTTCCCATCTTCCATTCGTTCCTTGGGAAAACAGAAACGGCAGGGAGCTGAGCAGCAGTGGTGCAGTGCAGATCCCAGCAACAGGACTGACTCACGTCGCCGGGCAAACAACAAGAGACGAACAGAGAGGAAACGACAGCAAGAGTCCACCTCCCGGCTGACCTCGGGTCAAACACGTGGCAGCTACGATTAACGTTTTTTTACAAACATGTCGCCTGTATCGCCATCAATGATGCCTGCTCCCTTTTTCATTTAGTCTGCATTACATAATGAGCAACTTGCCAAACATGCACTCGCAATCGCAGCAGCGACGACTATACACAGCTTTGAAGGGCATTAAATATTAGCCGAATGATGCAAGAGGAGGTGAACATGCACGAATACGTTTAGGCTTCCAGCCATGGCTGCATCATTAACACACGGCTTTTTGCTGTGACCACACACACTCATTACTGCCCTCAATAAACACCGGCACACAAATCTTCCCGTATTACATTATCACATCACTGAAGCGTAATTCCCAGCGGAACAGGCTCGCGGTTTAATGACTTCAATAAAGTTGGTTTGCATATCAAAAACCTGAGTAGATATTGAGCGACCAATAGGACAGAAATAGGCGCACAATCTGCCATAACTCAGAAGGGACTACTGTTTGGCACATTTACAGATATGAGATATTCCTCTAAAGTGGCCTGAAAGGAAGTGTTGCATTAACTGTAGCGTGCTTAGAACAAAAACAGGACTCTTACGGCTAACGAATGCATGACGAGAAGGAAAAGTCTGCATGTAACAAGCAGGGTAGCTCTTAATAAAATGGTGCATGTGCACGGTTAAGTGAATGACAGGAGAAGCGTTCTCTTCAGAGGATTTGGCTTTGCCCCCAGGCGTGCTTGTCCTCATGTGCATGTAGACACATGTGAGTGTGTGTTTGTGCAGGAGGCAGTGGGAGTGTGACACAGCCTCCCCTCTCAGTCTGCATGCCGTCTGCGTGACAGTAATAAGCTGTGTTTATACCGGTGGCTACGATTGAGTATCCTAATTATGGAAATGCTGAGGATTGGTGCCAGTCTGGTTTCTGACAGCCCCGCAGCTTCTGCTGAGAGTGGGCACAAACACAGCACAGACAATTTCACTCACACAGACCTGGAAGGAAAGACGGGCACAGAGTGTGGATGTTTACACGTCTTTTTTTCGCACTCGGGCCCCTCCTACCTTGCTGTGCTGAACAGGCCTGTGTGCGCAGTGGGAGCGAGCATCCTCCAGTCCTACGTACAGAGATTCGCCACCGCCAGCTGCAGTACAAACATCTGGAAAGAGAGATTGTGGAGAGACAGAGAGTCAGCATGCGTCTATTTGTGTTTGATGGTGTTTTAAGCTCATACCGCCCCTTGAAGCGCATCCTTCTTCTAACCCACAAAGCACAAACAATGCAGACGAGAGTCGGTCTGAAACCACTGTGGGCGACTTTGTCGTGTACACAACTTAAATATGTCTCCAAACTAAAAACACCAAGGGCATTCAGTTACCCAGAAAAGCAAAAAAGCACACGCCTGGAAATCCTAATTAAAGACTCAGTTATCTCTTTCCTTGCTCGACTGGGAAAAAAAACAACAACTCTGGAGATAAAGTTTGCTGCTAGTCCAGCCTGAAAAATGTCTGCAAATAATATTTGCATCATTACAGCATGACAAACAGATAAACAGTGTTTTGAAAATAATTTTTCAGCCTCCTTCTGGTTAAAATTCAAGGCCTGGAGGACATGCTCTCTAGCAGCTGGCACATGCAAGATTTCTGATTGTCGACCGGGAGGCAGGCCAAAGTGTCGGCGGGAAACAAAAGAAAACTTCTGGGCCTCCCATTGAGCCGAACTTGGCATTTTTTAAGCCGGCAATCATCATCAGCCAATGTCTGATAGCTAGGCCGCAATTTCTAAATATATCTAATCATCTGCTGTCGCTTCTCTCGTCTCGTACATTTGCATCAGGCTAAATGAACGCCAGATGACAGACGTCTTCCTTCTAGGAACGCCATGGTGAAATCCTTTTGTAATTCATGTCAGACAAGTGTTAATTCCCCCACTGAGGGCACATACCTCCCTGCCTCCTTATCAGCCTGCCTGGGATCATGTGCCCTCTAGAGACGGAGCGGGAAAACTGCAGGCGCTTTGATGGCACCATTTGCAGTAATGAGGTCTTCAAGTCATTAATCCCTTTGTGTTCAATTACGGCCGCAGTGGAGGAAACGCTAATGAATTATTATCATTAAGATGACACTCAAGACTGTTTTTGTGCAATGAAATGCAATAAAAGCGACACAAAATGATATGCACATCTTAAAGGAGGTTTTGCTACACAACTTCTTCTTTTGTCTTGCAATGACTGCAGTTTTATTACATATGACTCAAAATAACATCAGCCATACTATTTCTTTATTATGTTCCTTACCTTGAAATCAAGAGCTGAACAACAATCGGATATTTTTCTCTTCCAGCTGGGGATCAGCTGTGCTGACACGGACGCCCTGCTCTGCTCTGACACCTCGTCTGCACCGTGAGACTAAACCAGGCTGACAGCACTCTATACATCCACAGCAGTAATGAGCCCTCTGCGGTCAAAAGCCCCTCCCGGCCCTTCCTCTCCTCCAGAACACACAGAGCTGTGAAACATCATCTAGAGCCCCCCCCCTTTCTACTCGTTTAACTCGGGGAAGTGGAGCTATTAACTGAAACGGAAACGTAGTGACAGCACTCCCACCGCTTACTGGTAACAACAAGCAACAGCTCACCACTAATAACTCTGAGGTTCAAATAAACAGTAAATTCTAAAGAAGCATGGATTCTCGGATGTCACAACAATAATGCTGCCTAGATGATGGATTACAAAGATAAGAAGTGACTGTAGAAAAAGAGGAAAGAAAAACTGGAACTTTGCGGTTTCTGAGTTCTGCACAATGACACCGAATGTTTTTAGCAGAAGTAACATTTGCACATTCATACTCAGAACTGTGAAAGTGAAACTGTACGTGTCACCCTTCAACTTGTGCCACCATTTGTGTCACATAAGGTTTCAATACCAGCGTCTCTTTCTATTCTACTGTTAGCTGTTTGCAGTAAGTAAAGCTAATGTCCGATAATGACTCCATCTATATGAACGTGTGTGTGTTCAACTGTACGTTTGCGTCTGATTAAAGCACCTGAGGACGACTTGGCTCGGTGGTGTTTACTTCGAACTTCCTGGCTGTGTTTAGTGGGAGGAGCCAGATGGTCAGAGGTCACAGGTGGCAGCACGGGGCCCTCCCGCCTCAGGCTCAGGTGCACAGTTTGTTCAGCAAACAGCATTTGGATCAATGCCAGGTCCAGACCGGGGACGCACCGACCATTCAGGACCAGGATCTCATCGCCAGGACGCAGACCTGCTCACACGGGCAAACTCGTTTCAGAAAAGCCACGCCGATCTCAAACGTGACGCTCTTATTGGTCATTTCTAGATCGGCACCTTCATTGAAGGCCAGGCCATCAGGGAGCACTTCGCTGACAAAAACCCTGCTGTTCTTCTGGCTGTCTGCGTATCCTGTTACTGCAAAACCTGCCAGGAGGATTCAACCGGAGGATTACATAAAGGATCACGACATAAACTACAAACACGATTCGCCCAAACGTGCCCGACTCACCGAAGTCGCCGCTGCCGCTCTGCCTGCTCATGTGCAGCGTAAACACATTAGCCGGGACCACCTCCAACTGATCATTGACCTGCGGGGCAATATTAAACAAATCGATACACATTATAGAAAGAGCGGATAAATGAAGTGTTCGTGTGGGATCATGCGTGTTTCCCCTTCTCACCACATCACGGAGGAGCTCTCCGGGAGCCACGTATCGAACCTCCACGTGCTGCCCCGCTCGCCTGTGCAGTCGGAGGCAGTGCGCGCCCGGGTCCAGCTGTTTCACCTGTTTACACAGGAGCCTATAAATGCTTAGCAGACGGCACGCACAAAAATCATCCCACATATTTCCGCACCAGTACTTCGCCACACAGCTGCTGTGTGGCCCGAGGTGGGAATTACTCAGACTTTCCATGTAGTGATGGGAAATTTGCAGTAAACAAAAAAAATGTTTCGCCTAAGAAATTGCATGCATGTTGTTTTTGCATGTGTGAGCCCATGCATCTGCAGCCATTCAGGGGGGGCTGTGTGAAGTGTGTAATGAATTGGTGTCATTTCAAACCCTCGGGGACATAATGCAATCAAATCTGCTGCAACAGCTGTTTGAGGCCAGATTATCTGACCATTACTGAGGCTGTTCTCGATGGAGCTAAGAAGCTTTGCATATATGAAACATTCAAATGTTTTTTTGCTAAAACAGTCACAGGAATATTATCGTCTGATTTTTGTCAAATGGCATAATTTCTTTGAAACTCAACCTTGCACGCTGCACAGAGAAGGTCAGCAGCTGCCTGGTCTCTTCTGATGGGAACTTGGACCGTCAGCCCGTCTGGCATGTAGACACACATCAGCGCATCTGCGGCACTGCTGACGCTGTCCCAAAGACCGCCCTCGGGGGGCGACATGGAGTATATACTCGTCAGCACGTCCAGCCTCTGTGTAGGTGCAGAGAGGGGCATGAAGGCAGGATGCAGTGAGAGGTGGGTGAGGACCGTTAGATGGAGCAGAGAGGAAAGAGAATACGGGGGAGAGGGAGGTAAACAAAGAGAGGAGAGAGAGAGGAGACTTTGAGCAACAACACACAAATCAATACAGGTCCATTAGTCTAAATGCTTGGCTGTGGATCAAGTGGCAGAGCAAAGATGTCATACAATTAGCCTTTCAGAAATTCATCTGACATCACAGACGGCAGTTGCTCCATATAATAGTCATCATAATGACCGTGTACAGGATTGGCAAGCGTCGAGTGCTGGGTCTAGACGTCCCGATGATATCGCCGCAGTTCTCCCGGACTTTTTCTTCTAAAACAACCACAGGAGTCATTTGGACTGAGGTGAAGTGCGGGGGGGACAATTTATATTGGAATCACTTAAACTTTCAGGAGGTAATTATGTGCTGCATTATTTGCGGGATTAAGAGTGAGTGGGGTATTAAGGCGGGGGCGGGTTGGCCTCACAGGCGGCCATTTAGGGGTTTTGGTCGCGACTCGGTGTCTCTGGAGGAAAAACGCCACAGCTGCGATGTGGAGCTGCGGGGCTGTGGGAGACGCCACGGTGCAGCCCGAGACCACAATTATCAGAGCTCTGGATCACGAGCGACGGCTCAGTCGCAGCAAATGTAGTGAAACACGCGGGTGGAAGAAGCCTGTGATTCAGCACTTCTGACACAGACGATATGAAACGTGCTGGTTAAACTCAGACATGAGACCAAGAGGGATAATTGCTTTAGTGAATAGGTTGGGATATAAAGCGCAGTTTCAGATGCATTATGGCATGATAAAATAAAGCGTGGTGTGTGCCTGTCTGAGGCTTTCTGTCTGCTCTGCATGTGTGTGAGCTTTTCAGTCCGTTCCAGAGTCGAGCTGCCTGATGAATCACCTCAAGAGGAAAAAGACCTTTTTTTCCTGCCAGACAGAAGGCCTAAAGGGACGAGCTACAGTCTCTGATTCAGAGCATCAGTTTGCTCCACACACACACACACACACACACACAGACACACAAACATTTCCACCTTAATGTCCTTTTGACTAGCCAAAAAAAAAAAAAAAAAAAAAAAAAGAGCCACCTGTGTTCCTCCTAAAAATGTTTCCGTCTGCATGAAGGAACACAAGGTGCTGCTTCAACGCCCACTTCTGTCTGCAGCTTTATAGATGTCAGGTCACACTCACAACCTGAGGATGGAAAAAAAAAGGCCGACATGGTTGCGTAAATGTCCCGTTTGTGTCCCGGTGTGACTGCAAAACCAAAAACTCTGTCGTCCCGATCAGAGACAGACTAACACTGAACACTCATTCATGGTCAGAGTGCGTTCTAACGGGCCGACGGTTGCCTGGCCAACGCTCCGTGAGCCGCTGCCAGACACGCGCTGCACTTCAACAAGTGCCCTCTGTGGCGAGTGTGCGCGTGCTATTTATGTTTGCGTTCAGCCAGGTCATTCGAGCCAGGGCTTCAACGTTTCCCCTCCAGTGTGGAAATTATTTCGAAGCGAGCGGTCCTCCACCCGAACTTCTAAAGATGGAACAGAGTGGAGTAACGAACGTTTAGTGATGACCGCTGCTGCAGAAGAATAACCATCTCTGTTCCACTTAGCAACATTGTAACACAAATATTACAGTAGTTCCTCAAACAGATAGGAAAAGACTGAAAATTGCCAATCAGGTCTATTTAAAGCGTATTACTCCTTATTTCCTTAAAGCTCCACCCAGCGATCCCCTCCTTTACAGCGCAATGCCACCAGTTTCCACACTCATAACACTACTGACTGTTTCTTAACCCGAATCTTATAACTGAAGAAGGCAAAGACTCGTTTCATTTTACTCTCTTTCACCAGCAGACCTCTCAGTCTCCCTAATAAACGAAACATGGCTGCAGCTGACTAGCTGAGTCTTCATCATCTCACGGCTCTGCATCGTTCGCCCTAAGCTCTTCTGGTCAAGTTGCAATAATGTGAAAGCGTCTTTTTCAAATTCATTTCAAAGAGAATGAAAAGAATAAGTGCTGTAATTCCAAAAACATAACAACTCAACATTTCCTCTTGGTTTGGCGAGAGCATGAGACCAGGGGAGCACAAAACTCTTTCGAGGTCGCCCCTTTTCCTCGATGCTGTTCGTGATATTTCAGGCGAGCACCTTAAGGCACAGTCGGTGTGAGGGGCTCGTACGAATCACTCCTGTGCTTTTTGAAGATAATGTGGTTCTGTTAGCGTGATAACGATGCGACCTTCAGCATGCACTGGAGCAGCCTGCAGCCAGGTGAGAACAACCTGATATATTCGCCTCCAAGTCAGTTCTTTGCTATTCATTTGTGGACTGCACCATCCAGGAAAAATGAAACATAGAAATGTAGCGCGAGGTGAAGACGACGCTGATGTGGAAAGCAAACCTTATGCTTCTGATTTACCTGGTAATGTTTGTTCCAACCTTCAGCCTTTCTGCTAATAAGGACTGAAATATTAGCCCCGCTATGAACGTTTGTTATATTTCGTTCTTCCTGTAAAACAGAGCAACAATGTTTTAAACACAGCTGTTCCAAACATCCCAGTTTTACTTTAGATATTTACATTATTTTACTTTGCACATTAAACTTGGAAACACACTGATAACTTTTTATGTCCTGATTTTTCAGCATCAACAATTCCTTTCGTCAGCTCACATCTTTGCTGAGGTTTACACTGTGTGTAATAAAAAATGAAAGCACATCATTGGTCAGTCATGATTTGTGCTGTGGCTCAATCAAAGGTCAGTTTTTCAGAGGTCTAATAATATTCACCATCATAATTTCTGTTTTTATCAGATTATAATTCTTTTATTATGTGCAAACATAAATAATCTGTGCTGGGGTGGGCGGGCTCATGATTCTGTCCTAATCTTTATAAAGAACCACTTAGCAGACAGAAGTGACCCAAACTAGGACAAGAAAGCTTTTTATTCCAAAAAGCAGCAGCTGAAGTGCTTTGGTTTGATTAAACAGCTTTCGGGAGTTTCCCCAGGAGGAAGGTACCAACCTTATTTACGAATAAAGCGTCAGGATGGATGGAGTGTGAAAATGCATAAATGAAGTTAAAGCAAAGCTGTTTTAGTAACATAAGAATAAGTAGCAAGGAGTTTTTCCTCCAGCAGTCAAAACACATCAGCTCGCTCTGCTGAGGAGTCTTAATCCACAGCAAAACAAAATCATCCCTGTGCCGTTTTCCACTGCTGGAAGCAGAGGCTGGACCGAGGATGTAAGGAGCCAAGCTCTGCTATGTGAGTTTTAACTTCACACCATACCAAGGCAACTCCAGCAGTGGCAGCTCGAGCCCATGCAGATGTTTATCTCACCAACTGAAGGCAACAGCTAAACGTGACCTGCAGAAAAAGCTGGATGGAAAAGACCCACACAGAGAGGACACGACACGCACAAACACAGCAACACAAGGAAGCACAAGAGCGACGCACACCCTTCACTTGAAAGGATTAGTGCAGGATGAGTGCTTATTAGAGTAATTCGAGGGCTTTGAGTCCAAAGCAGCACAATAGGTGCAAAGTCATCAAGACGGAAATGAAGAAGTGTGCATGTTGACAAAAATCAAAGCGGCTGCACAAACCTCTCTCTTTTCTAACTTCCCACACCGTGAAGCCTTAATCCCCCCGAAAAACAAAACGGATCTCTGCGATGAGCTGCTTTCCTCATTTACGTCCAAACCTGAGAGACTTTGAGTGAAAAGAGCAGAGAAGCTTCCAGCAACATGCATGAAAGCCAGTGTTGTTTCCCCAACACGCTTCCTGCTCAGAGTCCCTTTCTAGGCCCTTAATGAGAGCCGTTTTACACTTGCCACATTGACCACAGACTAATGCTATGAATCACTACATCCTGTGAAACACTGATCTTTATAACACCATTCGTCCTCCGTCTAACGCTATCCATTATACCCATCTGTCAGTGCCACATTTCATCAGGCAGGAAATATTTTGGCTTGCTGGAGCCATCAGGAGGAGGATGGACTGACTCATTACTGCTGCACTAATCTGATACTGTCACCACGCCACCAATCAGTGACCACGAATGTTTAGCTGCGTTTTTCAGGTCTGTTTTGGCCTAAATGAGCTGCTTGCTAACTTTAGCCTAGCCTAGCTTATAAAAGCTTAAAATCTGGCTCCTGTATCTGACTGAAAACTACAACATGCAGTCCAAAAAATTGAGACACAAAACAATGAAATAGAAAGTGAACAATGCAGAAATGGGATTATAATAGGTGGCGTATTTGGATTCTATTTATATTCATGTTGGGAGTTTTAAACTGAAATGGGAATTAAAAAGAGAAGAACATGTGGAAGTTGGAGCCCGGCGAGGTGAGGACCTCAAGCTCGCGCTGCTATTTTACAATTACAGCCCTCAATAACCAGCAAACGCTGGCGTTTTAAAGTCTGGCTGCTCAGATGGCCTGAATTCACACTTGTCAGTCATCCAACGCTTCGCCCATACACACACATACACATTCACATACGACACCATCCTTTAACTCAATTATGGTGTGAATTGGACCCCTGTTCACGCCGGTTTTTCACAGGGCTCCATCCCTCCTGTTAGATATGCTCTCCATTTGTCTTGCAGACACCTGCAGATCAGCATGAAAGGAATCGCTGCTTTGATCCTGGACGTGTAATATACTCAGGCGGACACGTGCGCCTTGTGATCCCAATGTACGCACGCCCAGCGTGTTCAAATATCTTTGCACAGCGAACCATCAAAGCCGCGAAAGACGGCAGAGGTTAAAGTAGCAGCAGACCCGTTTCAACTGCAGCTACTTCCAACTTAAACTAATAATAGTACAGATGAAACTGTGCAACAGGATGCCCGCGACAGATGGCGGGGGAGTTTTTAGGAGATTATTTAAAAAATAAGTTACTGAAATCGGTGACTCACCTCGGTGCTCCTGGGAGGCAGGGCGCACGATTGGCCTCCAGCATCGCTTTCAAAGACCTGAAACCCAGAGACAGACAGTAAGAAGTACAGACAGAGGGGCACCACGCTGACTGACTCATGAGCCATTAGCACCTAGCCATCTCAGCAACACACATATTAAACACACACGGTGCTTTTATGCAGTTAATTAAAAACTACGCATGGCGAGTGCAGCGCTTTGATACTGCTTCCAAACAGGGTCTGTGGCCTTTGAAGGTGCATTGGTGGAAATGTGCAGTGTGTGAGTGAGTGGAGGAAATGTGTGTGTGGACACTGAGTGTTTTCTGTGTAGCAGAGAGATCAAAGGGGGGTGTCTGAAAGCAGAGGGGAGGGCCAGCTCCCACCTATCCGTCTCCACATCTACAAAGTTCTCTGGCTCCTCGAGTCCGTCCTGCCTGTCTGTGATTGGGAGGCGTGTTGCTAACCCTGCGGCCTCAGAACATTTCAACAACTCTATAATACGGCCGTGACAGAGCTATCCGTTATGAGGGCGTGCCTCGAGTCCTCGTTTAAGTGGACTGCAGTTATCAGGCTGTGCTCTGACAGTCTGTCAGCAGGCAGCAGAGACATGACAAGCAGCACAGCCGGCAAATTCAATTCACTATTTTGCTCCCCAAAAAGCTCCGACATGAAGTCAAAGGTGTTTGTTTTTGCTCACAAATTAAAGAGCTCAAGCGGACTTAGAGGGTCTACAGGACCAAGAAAATGTCTTTACAATCACAAAGAAACTTCCAGCTCTTGTTCTGCTAATAAGACTCTGCGTCTCTCCGCAGCATGAGGACGTTTATAAAATAGCTGTAAATGGTGCCGCTTCACTAAAAAAGCCGGCTTATTTTAGAAAGCTTTAACAACTCTTCCACAAATCCTCGGACCTTTCTGGCCTACTTCCCACAAACGACTGGCGGCCAGCTCCTTATGATCCAGAGCTCCGCTAAGGCGGATGAGAGAAGAGAAAAGGGGAGAGCAGGGGGGATGACTTTGGGGGAAGGTTGTGGAGTGTGCCATCAAAGTGGTAAATGGGATTTAGGCTTAGTCAACACACATGAGTCAGTATGGAGACTGTGGGAGAAGCACCGCCAGCTCTGATGTTTATGCTCTGAGAAATGGGGGCGGCTGGAGGGGGGAGAGGGACAACAAATGGTGATAGAAATTAGGGAACCGCACAGTTTAAGAGATGGAATAAATTAAGGAGCTTGGAGAGTGTTTTTAAACTGGTAGATGGAGAGAAACCCTTGGAGATGGCACGTTTGGGAGAACCTGAGGAGCGTATGAAGACGTATCACTCGTCAGCCCAACTTGCGGAAATAGCCAAGGAGCCGATGATGTCATGTTTGTGACAGCGACAGTTGAATTTCCCACAGAGAATCACAGAAAACCAAAACTCGTGCCGCACTGACCCCCTCGCTCTGGGAAAAAGATTAAGGAAAATAGCAGATGTCCAGGAAACCCCAGCATTCAGAAAATCCCTCAGAGCGCTTAGCAGCCATTAACTGTTCATGATTAGCCTCTAAGTAAAGACGAAAACACCAGAAAACACTAAAAAAAGAGCTCGTGGGCAAGAGGAAACCGGGGGGGGGGAATAAAAGGAGGCTGTTTAATATTTAGCGTCTTTACACCAACCATCTGCTGGGCTGAGGGAACCGTGGAGAACGCCATCTACCACATATGGCTTTTAATAATTCATGTGTGCTGCAGCGCCACCTCGGCCTCCTGCACTGTGAAATGTAACTGGGCCTCATTAGGCCGGCTGGCTGGAGTCCCCCCAGAAAAATAATAACACATACACGCATACCTAGCCGGTGACAGACGTGCGCAAATGCACGAGCATAAATATCACAGAGCAGGTGGCGGGATAGATGAGCCCGACGAGAGCAGGTGAAACAGGACAGGCGGCGTTTTGCTCGTAGTCAGGAGTCGGGGCTCGCCTACCGGAGAGCCGCGCTCGGGAAACGTTGGACGCCACGCTGACATTACGGCACAAAGAAACACAAAGTTACATTCCTCTGCTTTATTAGAGTCTCGACTAATGAACAGGGGTCCATAAAATTACGCAAGTGTTTCCTTTGGTGATGCTTAAAATAGACCACCAAGGCTCGTCTCCAGGGCCGTATCTGCAGGGTACAGAGCGGTGGATTTCTGTATCAATAAATAACCAGCTTGCATGAGTCTAATTACTAACCTGAGAGGATTTAGATGCCCCCCCAATGCACCTGGGTGAGGAATGCTCCCTTGTGTTTACGTTGATGGGAGGTTTGCGCTCAGCCTTACAGGAAAGCAGGAGGGATGTGAGCTTATGCGCTTTTCATTTAATAAAGACTCCTCTGGGGGAGGAGGGGAAATGTGCAGAGAACGCTGCGTGACTAAAACAGTCTCTAGCTATTTCTTTCACATTAACAAAGGCACTGCACATGCGAGCGAGCGACGAGCCAGCATGCTTTCAGGTTGCTCCATTAACGAACGTGCACACTGTGCACTGAAGGCGGGAGCATCGGGACTCTTTCTCCTCATGTACAGTAGACGTGAACACTGCCTGTAATCATGCACGTTCATGTCGTTTATGAGGTTTTTTAGTGAATTTCAGATAAAAAGAAGAATCAGTGCATTAATGTTTAACCCGTTTAATTCTTCCTTTAAACACAGAATTTTATTAAAACATCTTCAGATGTCTGTGTGTTCGTGAATACCTGCGAGACAGAAGGTCTCTTGTCACGGCCTCTCCTCGTGAGGTTGTCGAGGCCTTTCAGGGAGGAGAACAGGCCTCTTTTGCGCTGTCTGTGAGTCAGGGACAGGGAGCGCCTCCTGACTGTGGCTTCGTCTCTGGAACAGATCTGAGCAGATACACTTTATCAGCACTACGATCATATTTCTCAACAGAAATTCCATCTAATCAAACCATCTTAATTAAGTTCATTTTCCTCCCGTGATGCACAAAACGAGCGTTTGCACGCTGCAATATACTACACTGAATAAAGAGTTTTCAAGGTTACTGCTAGACATCAAGTAAATCCAAATGTCCCATTCAGAAGCGTCAGAATCGCCTCTTTATGTATTCCTTACCAGTGCGTGAAAGGAGGAGACTGAGAAAATCCCCAGGCGTCCCAGGGTGGTTTTGGTGGGGCGGCTGGCAATGGCGAGCAGGCTCTTCGGGTTGGGCAGCTCTCCGCCCTGCAGACTTGCGAGGTAGCAGCGCATCCTGAAGAGATCCAGGTTGAATCTCTCCAGGTTCTGCTCCCACTGCTGGATCTGAGGGAAAAGGAAAGACGCGCTTGGTACAAGATCTGAATTTGAAATTGGTGTTTGGTAGGTGAGCGAGCAGAAGAGCGCTGGGGGAAATAATAATGGAGGGAGTTGAGGGGCGGGGAGGGAATGAAAGAGGGGGATCCAGGGTCAGTCTGGAGCTTTTCAGGGAGCTGCGATTGCTTGCAGATGTTGGTGGAGGGTAAAGGCATAAGTTCTGTGGAGGTTTGATAGTGAAGGATGACTGCATATGGAGCAGACGAGAGTGTGTGTGTGTGCAGTAAATTCAAATGCCCGTTTTTTATGGACGACTTGAGAGGCTGATGATGTTGCACAGACCACCAGTTAAACCTCCACACACACACGTACAGTCCCCATGTCCCCGTTTGCACTATGTAAGCTATAAGAAAGTGCTTATTTTGTTGGCTGGAGACCATTTTTAATGAGAACACTCAGTTAAACAACGCTCCATAACAAACTGACTTTAATGGGTCTCGTCTGCACTGCGAGTTCATTTACAATAACGCACCCTATGGCGCGCTCCCATTAGGTCTCGCTCACATTGACGGCATTCTTTCGGATTAGGAGCAAACTGAGAAAGGGCACGAGGGTGGTGTTTTATGAACCCTGTGACTTCACAAACATCTTAAACACAAAGGTTGCACAGAAATTGCCGAGAGGCCGACTCGCCGCTCTGTGAAAAGCTCGGCTGGGCTAACGTCCTGAGAGCCAAAGGTTCCTGTCTGAATCTTACAAAGTCTGGAGATCAAGTCAAAGTCGAGTCAAAGGAAAACATTTTGACTCGGTAGTCAGTGTTAAACTAAAAAGTGGGTACTTCTGTGCAGATAACAGTGGCTGAAGGTGCCATTTCTATGGCGAGCACACCAGAAACCTGTGGATGGCTTTGCTATACTCATCCCTTAAAAGGATGCGTCAAACAGCTTCCTGTCTGCTGCGGCTCGTGCTGTTACTTGAACACAAGTTGGTTTTTTTATCCTGCTATTCTTGGGTCATTGTATAAAACGCAGTGTACCGTAATTTAATTCCCACTGAGCGGTTTGAAGATGACTTTAAAAGGGGGTGGGAGGCATCGCCGCCGAAATCAGATAAGCTCTTTCCTTAAAACCTGCAGGGCCGCTGCTTTGGAAAAATCCTTTTTATGTATAACATCTGACAAGATCTGTGCGAGCTCCAGATTGATGTGCCACGGATCGGTTTGTCAACAGTCAAATATCCACGTCTTTGTGCCGGGACGGCCTAAAATAGTCCTGCAGAAAATTCGATTTGATGAGTCATGCTGGGGCGCGTTACTGATGAATAGAATTTTTATATTAATGCTTGATGCATCTAGCAGGCTTGAGTCAGCGCAGGATAAAAAATGCACATCAGTGGAAAGCGAGTCATGTTTGGTCACATCTGGCCGGCGTGCACAACTTACTTCCATTTCAGAGCTTTTCTGTTAAGAGATTCTCTTTTCTTATGTTCCCTCTTTAACATCTGCCTGATCTCTCTCTACACATCCTTCAATGCTGTTTCACTGCACTCTGTGTGTGTGTGTGTGTGTGTGTGTGTGTGTGTGTGTGTGTGTGTGTGTGTGTGTAGACTTCAAACATGCTCTACTGGCACCATAGACATAGGTGGGGGTAGGCAGAGACATCAAAGTAGTGCCCTGTTGGTGCTCCACAACTCCCCCAGAACCTTAAATCTATCATCAGCCTCATGGCGTCTTTATCAGTCCGGTCCTGACCCCATCATTGACTCCAACCATGTCCGTCTTCTTGTCTTGGCGTACCAGCTAATTGAAAACAGACCTGAGGACAAAGTTGGGCGGTGACATCTCCACGGATCAGCCCTGCAGTGAGCTTTTATCAGGTCCTCGTGTCTAATGTGGTGCAAAAAATGAAACGGACTGACCACCCTGTCAGCCACGACAACAGCCTGACGCTGCAAAACAAACTGTTTTCCCGTCACAGTGTTTTTCTTCCTGCTAAGCTACAGGTTTGGAGCTTTTTCCAGCCCTTTGTGATCTGCTGTATGTAGGCTAAAACAGCGCTGGGTGCTTCGGATTCTCCCTCCGGCTGCGAGGAGGAGGGAGAGGATAATGCATGTTGAGAGCCCATTACCGGGAAACATCTGGAATCCCAATCACATGTTTGGGGAGAGAGCTGCTCCTCTGGGCCCCTCGCGACACGTTTGGGACCGAAGCATTTAGGCCACTTCACCCACCCGCAGACGAAAATGAAACACAGGCTCGTCACCGCAGTCCAAAAAAGAAATAATCAGAAAAATGAAGTAGGGCACATTGTGTGGTTTCACCATGAATTATGCAGGGTAACGACACGCAGATGAGTTTAAAAACTGAAACATGAAGCGAGCACACGTTACGCCACTGAATCCGTTTATCACCGCTGCGAACGAAGCAGATTTTCTCTGAGAATTTGTCTCAATAGCAGGAAGTGTGCGAGCCCTCGTAGCCAATGTCTCCCCGCAGACCTCATCGCCACCTGCTCACCTGGTTTTCGATAGCTTTGCGGTTCTTTGGATCGCTGACTACGGTCAGCTGCAGCTCGGCCATCTTCTTCATCTTCCCGTCCATGTCGATCTTCTGCAGCAGAGCGCGGACCTGGCTCCGCAGCAGGCGCACCGTATCCTCCTTCCCCTGGCGCTTGGCCAGCAGCGAGGCACTTGCGGAGTGGATCGCCGTCACCCAGTTTTCCAGGTCAGTCTGGTTGCTGGCCTGGAAGGGAAATAAAGAAACGAGGAGCTCAAACCGCTGACCAGTATTTCCATTACATGCACGATAAAGTTACTGTACCATTTATCTCAGAAAGATCATTAGGAGGCAGCTGAAAGACTCCTGCTTAAATCAAGGTTAATGTGCTCTTTTCATCCTGAGAGGAGACTGGATGAGAAATCAGTTGAGCCCTTTTTAAATGGGACTTGGGCTCTAAGGTCATTTTATATGAAAAAAGAAACCAGCGGGTGTGTGCAAAGACTTTCTGGGAAATCTTGAGTCACAAGCACAGGAGTCAGGTGACTCTTCACCTGGAAAAGGTAGACGTCTCCATACGAGTTGCTGAGGCAGAACACGTTCTCCTTCTTGGGATGCTCAGGAACAGCCTGGACGATGCTGTCCTCGGCCAGGAGGGCGTAGCGGGGCGACAGCTCCTGCTCCGGAGAGCCTTTACTGTAAGTTTCATAGAACAGCAATGTGCACCCTGGAAAGGGAAGGAAATGCTTTTACCGTGTGATTATTGCAGACACTGTGTCCTTGTTCAACATGAAAAATAATCTAAGCAATGAACTTCAGCAGAATTGGAGTTGTTGCTGTGACATTGAGACATAAAAGCACAAATCCTGCACAGAATCAGAAAAATGGCAAGAATGCGTCACTTCATATATTTTATTTTCTCTTCTGATATTTCCAACTAACCCAAACTGTGAATTCTTCATCTGAGTTTCAAGGACAGGGCACCGAAGCTCACCTTTCAAGGTCACCCAGTACTGCTTCCACTTGCGCCGCGTCACCAGCTCCAGCTTCCTGTCCTTGTGCAGAGTAACGAGGGGTTTGAAGGAAAGCCAGCCGGCCCGTCTAACCACCCCCTGCTCTTTTTCAAACAGCAGGTCGAGCTGCTCGAGCGAGCCTTCGGCAGATTCGCTGCTGCTCTCGTCTTCCTCGGTGCCGGTGGACGGCACTCTTCTCTCACCTCCTCCCTGCCCGGTACCCGTCTCCAGCTCCCTCATGAAGTTTTCATAGATGTTCTGGCGAAGGGCATCGTTGGTCGTTTGGTGAATGGCTCCTGAAGATTGGGCCCTGGAGGCTCCGGGAAACCAGAGGAGGCTGGAGACCTGGGAGGGGGAGCTGGTGTCTGCAGTCAGACCATCCACCCCACTGTCAAACGTATCACTCAGGTCCTTGTACCGGGGTTCCTGAGGAGGCACAAAAGGTGAAGAAAGTGAATGAAGAGTGTGAGAAAAGTCAATTGGAGGAAGATCAGAAGTGTGGGGCTGGCTGCAGATTACAAACTTGGCTCTGACCTGCATTGTTCCCATCCACATTTAGGCAAAACACAGCATGTTTGCCCTCCAGGTGTACAGACTTCTGTAGGTACCCGTGAGCTTACAGCGGGACACAAATCAACTCTGCTTCTTTCAATTAGCCCCAAGGCACTGCGAAACTTTTGAAAAATCGAGGCAAACCACTCGAACCTACTTCAAAGTCTGCATTACAGTCTCGAAATTCTTCCTAGGCTGAAAAAGTGGGACAAATTTCCTGTGATGGCACCTGAGAGGTTGGCACCCTCCAGGCTCAGACAATTTCACGTCATTTGAGGTCTGCTGTGGCTTCCCAATTCCCCAAATGAATACTTGATGGGATTGCACCCTTTCATGCCTAATGACAGCCTACCTACACTTCACTAGATTGGAGCATCGATTCCGCCCCTGGCAACAGAGCGGAGCGCTCTCAGCGTGCAGACGCGCACGGCGTCACGACAGAGCTCTGTCTCCATCTTTTGTTTATTAATGCGTTTCACTCCAACCTGTCTGCGTCGTCTCAGTCCTTAATGCGCATTTCGTGCTGCATCCACACTCACCCTTCTTCATATTTAGCATGCAGTTCTGCCTCCCTGCGCCCTGTAACTAGGCAGCAAAGGGTTCATGTTTAAGTTTCACAGCAGGACTGAACCCGGTGAACTCGGTGCTCACTTGAGGACAGGCTTTGTTTACCATTTCGTCCTCTTGTAGCAACCATGAAATCCACCGTTGTTTAGTTAGTAGCTGTAGATGCACACTGTGCAGAGGGCAAGCTTCCTCTAGCCCAACTCTATCCAGCCTCTCCTCACCGTCCTCCATCTGCTTTTCATTACAAGCAGATTCTTGGTCTTTGGCATCAGGGTCGCTATGTGACCTTTAAACCCACGAGTCCAGGGGAACCAGAGCTGATGACCTGCTGAAAGGAGGCACTGTGACCAGCCCGCAGAGATATTGCACACCGAAGTTTGGCATCAAAACGGCTCCCAAAGGAAAGAGGAAATACAGTTTTAAACAGCTCAATGAATTTAACGAGAACTTGTTGCATGCCCCGTTGATTACGGAGAAAGGAAACCCCCGTGCATTAATCACTGACTTGTTTGTGAATTTGCCTGATTGGTTCAATTAGTTTATACCAAACTGCACCAGAAATGCAGACTTCGTAAGTATTTATGTGCTTCACACAATTACCCGTAATCAGCATTGATTACCAGACCTCGGTCCACTTCTTTGAATTTTACTTCTGGACGAGGAAACAAAACTGGAGCAGATCGATCCTGCACCAGCACGTGGTTAGAAATTAGCGCAGCAGCTTTAGAAGGAGGCATTTTTTTAAAAACACTCAAAATGAGTCGAGTAAGCACAGGGTCAGAAAACTGCGTCACAGCAAAGCTTCTTGCATATTTCACTGAAAATAATCAAGACGTTTCAGCACGAGAAGCAGCTTACACAGTCTCCAAGAAGAAAACGCCTTCTCATTTGTTCTTCTCTGTCCTTTGTTTCGCTCCTAGACTCAACCGACTGAACACCAATCCCTATTAGCAGATTTATTCTCCGAGGAACGTGAGGGGAGACCCGAAAATCTGAACACAACAACCAGAACAAACATAAGTCACTCATTAACGTTAGAGGAGGGGTGGGGTTAAATCTTCAGCTCGGATTTAGCCTCACTCTACAGATCCTCTCAAAGGCTTACAGCTATTCTCTTGGCAGCACCCAAACAGCGTTCTGAAAACTTTTACAAGGCACAGCTAAACGAATTAATGCAGGAACAATTGCTTTCAAGCCCTCAAAGAAGGGAGGGACGAGAGTTCAGGCTCAGTTTAAGCAAATGTTTTAGGTCAAATTAAAGCTTGTAAAAACCTGATGTTTGTACAACCAAAATCAGGCGGTTCCTGCGTCCACGTGCAGGCAGCGGGCTGACAGGCTGCTCTCCTCACAGCACAGGTATCGTTTTACTTACACGAAGATCAGCTGTCCACTCAAAAGTCAATGCACCTCCCACGGACATCTTCAGTAACACGATTAATCGATCCGACTTGTAAACGAACGAGCTAAATGTGTAAAAGAAAGTCCTGCATGTTGCTAGAAAACAGTCAGTGTGCAATAATACTACTTAGATTTACCCACCCAGTAAAAGTATTCGTGATATCTGATTACCAGCCCCGCACTCCTCTTCGTCGGAGCGTCGTCCATGCTTCGGTATTGTGCTAAAAGTCACTCCCATCCTTGTTCCCTCCTCACTAGAACAACTAGACCCAGCCCTGGCTGCTTTACAGATTTCATTTTGTGTCACCCCGCTGCGTCCTGTCCTCAGACAGCTGGTGTTGTGTTGCTAAAGGACCAGAGGACGGTGGTTGGTTCCCAGCCATGCCAGGACAACCACTGTGGCCCGCAATCATATAAATCTTGCCAGGAGGGAAACTGTCTGATGACCACTCCCTTCTTGGGCTAGATATGAAGATACACTAAGATTTTCAAATATAAAATCTCTATAAAATATAAGGCATGGCTCTGTATGCATCCTGTGAGTGATAAAAAGAGTGTAATTCATTAAAGAGTAGTGACTAAACCCCAAAGCCCATCTTGTGCAGGCTCACCTGAGACTGAGACTTCCTCTTCTTGCGGCTGAGGCTGCCCGTCCAGTCACTGAAGCGTCTGATACGGTTTTTGATGGAGTCTTTCTTCTGGAAGATGAAATCCGGCCCCACCTGTTCCTGCCGTTGCCCCTGGTCACGGTACTGGTCCAGGTTCTCGCTGACGGTGTGCGATTTGGGCCTGCGACAGGGCAGGGTGTACGAAGAGTACTGGCGGGGCTCTGGGCATTCTTCTTCCAAAGGAACGTCCAGGACGGACGCAAAGGACGCTCGGTGTGGCCTCTGGCCCGGTGGAGGCTCGTGTAGCTGGGAGGACAAGTCCCTGGCTGTGGGGAAAGTCGCAGCCATTGTGGGGTCTTTATACAGATCTGTGATGGACAAAGGGGGGGACTGTTCTGCAAAGGAGACAATTTGGTGAATGGGGGAGTGTGCTAACGTTCTGCTGGCAGAGCAAGGCTGGTCCTGCTCACACAGCTCTGTGCTCGGCCCCCAGGGGGAGTCATACCAGGAGCCGTCAGAGCTCAGTGAGCTGCCTTTGCTGGTTCTGGCTGTGGAGGAAGTAGAGGCTGGAAGCGGAGCGCTGTGATGACCATCCTGCCTGCTGCCACTGGACCCAGGCAGACTGGGAGTCGATGCCGACTCCACATTGGGGGAGAACTTGAGGAGTTGGACCGGGCCAGTGGCCCCATCCAGGTGGAGAGGATTCCCCGAGGTGTTGGTGAACTCCACCCTGAGCGTGCCGTCCTTTTTGATCACCACCCGCGGGCTGCTTTGTTCCCCTAAAACCTCGTGCTCGTCATCATCTCCGTTCAGGGCGTGCCCGTTGAGTTCAACCCCGTATGGATTATCATCGTCTGACATGTGCCGCTTCCTTATGCCGCATCCAGGGGACCGATGCCAGCGGTGCTGAGCCGGGCTCCCCCTCACTCCTTTGGAGACGTAGTCACAGAGCCGGGCAGAGTAAGGCTGTCGGCTTTTAGGAGGCGACAGACAGCCACGGCCAACGCACCTGGTCTTGTACCCTGAGCCTACCGGAGCATTTTTCCACCACGAATGAGGAGACAGAGCATCACCTTTGGCTGAGCCTAGCTTTAATGAATATGGCTTCTGTTTCCCGGGGAAGATAAAGCTGGTGCCTTTGGGACCCTGAATGCTGTACTGGCTCTCTGAATTTCCCATCCTGCCCTGGAAAAAACATAGAAAAAAGGAAACAAAACCATAATGTCACGACTGGAAAATCCGTGGTTCTTACACATTAGACATGGTATGACATAATGCTGATTCATCAGAGGCATAAATTTAACTTATTACTCATAAACAATAACGGATACACACAGTCATCTGAGCTACAGTGACAACAGCAGCAGGATTAATACGTCGCTGATGTCTTCCATAGCTTATTCTGCTGCATCGGGTCACTGATGCTTAATGATGTCTCCCTCTCACTTTATTATATTCTTGCAGGAGCAGATAACTGACACCAGCAGGCTTTAGTCTGTCGTGGTTGTTATGTTGACAATTAAAAACTTTTAGATGCTTCACAGCTCTCTTACATTAGCATCAGAGAGCTGTGACAAGACTCCACACTGCCGGTAAGACTATTACCGTGTCCGCCGTCGCCCATGATGTGATTGCATAACAGGTGGAAGTAAGGCCAAACACTTCTAACAGCCTTCAAGTCTTTGAATTAGCAAACCGAGACGATCAGGAACTAAAATAAAGCCCTGCATGACGTGTGGGAAGGATGCAACACTTCAGGTCTTTTATAAGATTCAAAATCTCTTTTTCAAGAGTGACCTGGCTATTAAATAAAATGAAAGTTGACCAGATAAAGAAGACAGAAAGCTGAGGGGTTGAACTAAAGCATAATGCTGACCCTGGTCTGAAGGCTCCTTACACTCACCTCTGAAGCCTCGTCTCAGACTGGAGCTTCTATGTTCGCGCCACTCTCCGCCTCATTTCTCAAAATAAACTCATTCCTCCGTCGTCTGGCTCATCTGAAACACACAGGGAGAGGTTGGCTTAGTGCTTTCCACAAAAATGTAATTTACTTTGTGTAATGAGCAGAGGACAGCATTTGGTGCATGCACGTTTGTTTTTTCATTTTGTAAAAATGATTTAGGACCGTGTCCTCGAAAATGCAAAGTACAAGAAAAGTTCCTTCCTGTACGAGGTAGCACGTCCAGCAGTGCCACACAGACGCTACAGCGCCCCCCCATCAGCCAAACCAAACATTTGATGCATTTTTCCACCTCCCTCCGAGTAAATGACGTCGTCTTTGATCGGGTTTGGGAAAGCATTTCAAAGCCAGCTACAGTTTACCCATCTGTTTATTTTTAAACCTTTGAATCCTCGCTCGCTCCTTTTTTCAGCCATCATCTCCAAATTCGTCCAGGGGGCCGGGATCCAAAGGAGAAGAACGAGTGCACCACGTGTCTCTGCAGGCAATGTGACTGCCTTGCGTGTATGTAACACAACACGCCTAAACGCATGCAGTAATGCAGTCTGAGAGGGCTTTCAAACGGTGCTAACTCTGCTAAGCCTCGCAGCATACGTACAGCATGTGTACAGCATGTGTACGGTTACAGTAAAAACAAAGCTCGCTGCCAAGTGTCACCTCAGGATTAAGTGATCTGCAGCATTAAGAGTTTATCTGCTCCTGCTTGGGTGCACCTTGACTACGAGGTGAGATTAAGACGTGTTGGCGGAGTAAGTGAACTAAAGTTAAAGAGCGCATTTAATACAGGGAGAAAGGAATTCCAGGAAACATCAACATTTTAAATAGAAAGAAAAAATAAAAGCCACTTGAGGAAATGATTCTCTTCTTCTGCAGCTGTTTAGAACGAGTGTGAAAAGTAGCAGCAGAAAGCAGAGTGGAAACTTGGCTGTGGAGACGAGCAGGCCCGGTAATGAACTCGAACCGCGAGTCTGACACGATCAGGGTATTAACTAAACATTTGCTTCATTTCACAAGAGTTATAAGGAGAAGATGTTGAATATAAGCATGAAATATAATCCTGAGTTACTGAAGCAGCTTTTCTCCAGGAATACATTTCCGGATATATCATGAGATGCTTTATTTATCCCACAGTTGGGAAAATTGCTGCCATTATTCTTACGAACCCTGGAAAAAGTCAAGCTGGGAGCGTTTATGGAGTATATGGTCAAACCCTCGTCTTCAGTAGTAATCTGACCAATGATAGCCCGCGTTACCTCCCAACTTCTGTTGTTCAAGAGCCAAGCAGAGCAGAAGGAGCTAAAAAGCAGAGTTAGCCTGATTCAGATGCTTTCTACATGAATGGAGAGCAACCAAACTATTCTCTTTCAGGAGTAAAAGACTAAGGAAGCAGCTGTCGGGAATCAACATAAAGCTGGTTGTCAAACTTGTCACAACGACGGCTTTCTTCTAAACGCTACCACTGATGCTTTTCTTGCAAAGTTTATTCAGGGGAGAGCAGAGCTGTGGGTATGAAAGGCTCAAAGGCGTGCCAACACACAAACTAAGGCACACGTTTGCCTTCTGCTGCGCGCCGAACTGGAGCATTATGCGAATGTTTTCGGAGAACAACAAGACAAGTCTTCCTTTTTAGCTGCAAACCGCTGCACCCGGTCGTGAACTCTCCCTCCCTCTTCCCCTTCTTCCCCTTCAGTCCTCTGTTCACGTTAAAAGGCTTCCTACAGGCCATCTGCTCAAGGGCAAAGGGAGCATTGCCACCCCGTTGCTCCTCGGCACACACCCCGTGACCTGGCATTCTTCTCAGCCCGGCCCTGGGTGACTCCTACGTAAGCTCCGTGTTTAGTCTGGCACCGTGTGTGTCTTGGGTCTGCGATTCAGGATAACGGTGAGGAATGAGCCACGCCTCATTTTGGTGTAAACACAGCAGGTATGTGAATTGTCGAGGATGTAACTGCCTTTTTTTTTCCTTTCACCAAGACCACCGTGCATTTGTAGCAGAGAAGCTCCAACCTCTAAACTCAAACCCACACGTGCAGAGTCTGGATTTCCTAACCTGGCCCTTCGTGTGCTTGAATCTAAACTATAGAAACAGAGCAGCAGGAAAAAACTCCAGACACAGCAGTGACACACTCCCTGAAGCCCCACGGTAACGTCACGCTGCTGCTAGGGCAGCTTTAAACCCACTCTGCCACCACACAGGAGTCCTGCTGAAAATACAGGCAAGGTTTTGTTTGAAGAAAAGAATATATCACAGTGAAAGTGACAAAATAACCTCAAATATAATAAAGGATACCAACAAGGTTTCAATCTTTCTGAATTATTGTGCACTAGGAGCTATGAGGTCATTTGTTATTGGTTGTGAGTGTTAACACAATCGCACCGCTTTCCTCCTGTCAAATCACAGCCCGTGGGACTAGTCTCTTATCACTTTCCTCTGGCGCTGCGACAGCTCGGCTCTTAAAGCAACAGCACGCGTAAAGCTTCTCTCTCAGACTCACAAATTAAATTCAAAGTCATGCAAAACACCGTCGTTTCTTTCCGGGCAAAGAAAAACAACAACAGGAAGTGAAGAAGAAGAGAAAACAGGGTGGTTGAAGCCAAAGACCACGCCGTCTCCTGCTGACTTTTTGTCATACGAATCAGATTTAAAGTATCCTGCGGTTGTTTGCTTATGAGCAGAAATGTCCATCTATGAATCACTTGCTGAAAGCCCGTAATACTGTGCGGTGGATCCAGCCAAAGCCACCAAACATCCATCAAAGTGCTTGTTAAGTGTCTTTCTGACTTTTTCATTATACATTTAGAAGCTCTGAGCCTGGCTGCCGACCAAAAATGTCATGGCAGCCTGCTGAAAGATTTATACGTGTATGCCACCGCCATTCCAGACTAATGCCAAGAAAATGAAAATGTTTCCAAACACTTTTTGTACAATCGTGCAAACATCTAGAAACTTCACACAAAGTTTAGACAAAGGAACAAGTCTGTCAAACAAAGTTGTTCTCGTGAGTCAGACGAACGCGACGACCGGCAGAAGCAATAAAGTCTCAGACTGAGAAAGATGACCTTGTTGTGTCTTCATGTACAAGGCTGCAAGCTGGAAGCAAGTACATAGAGTTAGGCCGGATACAAGAGATACAAAGCGAAGCTAGCAGATCCAGGTGGGAACTAAACAGCATTCACACATGCAAGCACACAGTGTAAACCACACCTGTGCATCTGATAATGGGGAGCACAATGCAGCCTCTCCACTCCAGGCTCTTCTTAATCCAGTAAGCAGGAGAAACAAAGGGAGACAAAGATAAAACTCCAGTCCAGAGCAGACCTTACCTCCGTGGCCCGGGCTTTAATCTAAAAGCTCTTTGAAGAGCTTGCAAAGGAGAAATCTAGCTGCTGTTCTCTGATCTGGATTCACTCTGGGGAGGCTCGTTGAGTCTTAAAGCAACACTCACACACACTGCATCTGACTCACACACACACACCCAGGCACACTGGAGGACATGTGGAAACTCCCTCCCGGCTTTGGAGGAGCAGCGAATCACAATCCTCCGAGGGTAACCCTGGGTAACGGAGCGCCAAGAGGAAAAACCAGAGAGGAAAAAGTGAAAGGTCCTCGACAGAAGAGCTCTCTCAGGAAGAGAGGCGAGGATGTTTTATAACGCTCGTCCAGCGCAGAAAGGCTCCACTACTCCAACGTGTTGTTTTTCCTACATCCAGCTTTTCCGTTGGCAAGGAGCAGGATGCAGGGTCCGCTGCAGCCCAGGCGGTTTTCCATAGCAGTCTGAGGGGATTGGCCGAGACAAGCTGGCGTGTAATGGCTGCAGCGCTGCCTGGGAGGCACTGCTGAGGGCGCAATGACTGGAGCTCTTGTCTGACCCTAAATACCACAATGACCCCAAGAGGAGGCCAAGGAGGCAGCCAACCACCCCCAAGAGAGAGATGTGTGCATGTTTAGTGTAGAAGAATATAAAAAGAGCGGGACAGCGACATGCCTGAGCCTTTTGAACGTTTCTGTTGGCCGGGAAGGAAGTCCTAATTTGAAGGGAGTTGATTTAAAAAGCAACAAAAAAGCAAAACTTCCCGGGAATTCGACTTTCTCAAAGTGTTGTGACTAAGCCGTCTCCCAGCGGAGACAAATTTGAGACCGCCGTCGGGCTAAAAACACACGCATGCCTCCATTTCTCTATGGTTCGCATAACTGTGGTCAGAGTCAAACTGGACCCATTAACAAAGCCACACCAGAACACAGCACGACATCAGAACTGGACCCTGTGTGCCAGACGGCTCTCTCACTTTATTTCAGAGTAACCGAGCGAAGATTACTGGATGTTTGGGGACGTATCAGCGCTTATAGCACATATAACAAGAACGTTCAGATGGATTCTCCTCCAGAAAATCATTGTGGTCTGAATGGCGATTCAAAGTCACGTCCGTGCACGCTGTACGAGCAGCTGTGGATAGGCTTCCATCAGCCAGCTGCTTCTGCTTGACACACAGACATCAGCTCCGGGACACAATATCAGCAGCGTTCACCAGAGCTAAACAACATTGTTAACAGCACAATGGTCCTCGTGGCCCAGTCTGAGCTGCTCTCAAAGGCCTTTGTCCGGCTATAGATGGAGGCAGCTAAAAGGTTGGTCAACAACACACTTGGAGTGACTGGGAGACGTGAAAAGAGCGAGGCAGCGCGAAAGACAGAGGAGGCAGGCAGGGCCGCTGTGATGCATATTCATACAGAGCAGGTGCTCGGTCTAATTCCTCCCGGCCAAATGCTCTGACCCCTAATTACGATGAATTAAGGCTCCGACAAGCGCCGATCAACACAGCCAGATTAAATCCCCACACGTGCTCAAATCTCTGCACGATTTCCATTCACATCTCCAAGAGCTGAACTAGGTAGTTCATGGGGACTGTAGGTCACACTGCTCTACATGAAGACGTAACTCAAGAAAGCACCAACGCAGCTCATGTGCGCAGCAGCACAGCTGTCGTGAAACACAAGGGAATGACGTAACTGACAGGAATACAAGTCAGCAGAAGTTTGAGAACGAGCTCCGGAGGACCCCGGATGGCCTTTCAGGCACCGGGCTCAATAATAAGAGTGTGAGAGAATCTGCACCCCCTCACCCCGGATTTAAAATCAAAGTTTAAACAATTAACCCCCCCCCCCCTCCCTGGGAAAAAAAAAAAAAACATATGATGCACTCAAAAGCCCATCTATAATATCACATTTGGACAGTTCATCCCAGCAGTGTCATAAATTATTAAAAAGAGCAGAATTTGCAGCAGAAATTGAGCCTTATAAAAAAAAAAAAACTGACTTTAAATACCTTTAAAATCAATTTTTAAAATACAGATTTGTTGATTTGCTATTTATCAACGTGTCTTTACAAAAATCAGACATCAGTCATCTCTCTCATAAACAGCATGCTGGAGCCATTCTCGTGGCTGGAGGCCGTTTATGGTTTGATGCCATTGATTATCCCGTTCACTGGGGACTGCAGTCTTCAGCAGTTTGTGAGTAAAACATCCACTGGGAGGAAATAAATAGAGCTTAATTGCTCATTTTAGCAGCAATTAGCACACAGCCTCACATTGAAACATCAATTTGGAATATTAAGAGTCTGGATTTGCTTTCAAAATAAAGCCTAGTGGGACGGACCGGGCGATGCAGGGCGGGTGTGTGTTTATTGTGTGTGTCTGGGGGATGTGCACTCACACACATCCCCCCACATAGGTGGGGTAGACTGAGGGAATTTACTTAAGCTGGGATACTTTAAGCCAGAGTGAAAGGTCAGGTCTTTTGTGCAATACCGTGTTTCACCCCAAAACATGCTGCTTTTACAAATCTATGACTGAAACAAACAAATGTATCTTTTATGTTCATTTCCACAAATGTAAAAGTCTGAAAATATCATGAAGCGCATTCAAACTCATCTCTCGGCTTCTGTGTCATTCAGAGACTCAAAGGTTATCCCTCCCACTATTAATCATCTGTTCCTCATCCCTCTGTTCCAAACTGCGATGTCCGTTTTTCCCGCCACCTTCCCTGCTGTCAGCTCCTCTGCACAGTGGTGCTCCTGTCAGACGAAGCAGGCCTCTGCACCGAGAGTTTGGCACCAACTTTAAATAAACCGGGATGTGTGCGCCCGGGCTCTCAGCTAACAACACTGCAGGGACTGCGCTCTGTGTTCACACTGACGGTGTTAAAATCTAATGTGAGAAATGTTGTTTAAACATCTTTGGGGCCTTTTCTTTAGAGGGGACACGGGCTGAGGACATCCTCCAGGGTGTGTCAGCTTCCATCTGTTGCACAAGAGTGCGCATGTTCACATGAATGCGCACTTTTATGTGCATGCTTGGAATGGCAGAGGGACGAATAGGTTACAGGCTCTCAATCAAGAAGACTGTGTGTGTGTGTGTGTGTGTGTGTGTGTGTGTGTGTGTGTGTGTGTGTGTGTGTGTGTGTGTGTGTGTGTGATAACAAACAGCTGGAAGACTCCAGGTGCAAATCAGCTTTCCATCAGCTTCTCTGCTAATTAAGCAGCTTAATGGAAAGAGGAAGGTCATTCAGAGGTTTGAATCTGTAAAGGAAAAAGACACGAGATGCGCACACACAGCGTGCACTTGAACGTTTTCCAGAGCTGCAGTATCTGGCATTCAGGCTGATTGGTATTCTCACGATTTAGCTGGATTGATTTTCCAGTGCAATCAGCATGCTCTCACACACGTCTCAACATCTGTGCTGCAGCAGAACATCTCAGCCGAGCTGCTCGATTCTCTTGTGATCGGCTCGCAGCAGAGCACCATTAGAGACTCTCTGTCTTCAAGTTATGGAGAAAACGCCTGGCGGTGAATGGAAGTAATAGCATGAGTGGCAGCAGTGCATGCAAAACATGTGGAACAAGGGCGAAATAGGAGACCCTGAGGCTCCTGGGAGGACGAGTAAACAGCCAGCCCTGCCCATGAAGAGCGGGAGAAGCACAACAGCTGACAGATATCTACACATCACATCGCAGCATTCAGTGGTAACCTTCAGGAAGGGCAGAGGCATCATCAGTAAAGACAAAGTTCACAATGACTTTGTACGTCCGAGTGCAAATGTCTGCATAAAACACCGACATTAAACCCACCAGCAAACTCTATTATCTCCACTCGAATCAACTGCCGCTGTGCACGGCGAGATAATCCGTCACACGCTACGTTTCATAAGCTCTAGTGATTAATACAATCAGCCTGCGACCCACTCGCTCATTAGCACTGCAGTGGTCACTGTAGTGTACTGTGGCAGTCATGTGAGGCACACTTCAGGATCCCCAAGGTGATCCATCAAAGATCATTGACCGCTGCAGGACCGACTCAGGTGCACAGCTGTTGGAGGTCACGCAGGAAACGATGAGGCGCCGCGGATCGGGGGGAAGAGAGACGCGTGCACGTACAGTAATCGATGTTCTCGCATAGAAAGCAGAAATCACTACGGCGCACATTCAGCATCAATCACCGTACCCAACAGGAAAGAAGAAGCTATTGAGGGAGCGGCAATCGATTCATCTGCGATCTGAGAAGGACAAAGTGAATTGTTTAAAAGGCCCCAGAGGTGAGCTGGCAAGATGAAAGCTGCGCTTTCAAATCAAAATGACATGCGGCTGGTGGCTACCGCTCTATCTGGGGTAGTAGGGCAAACAACCACGGCTGGCCTTGTTCCAGCAGACACACAAGCCGCGCACACACACCTGCTAAGCTGGCCAAACCATCTGCATCCAGATGCTCTGTGGGTGTATGTCTGGGCGAATGCGTGTGGAGCCTCGTCCGATCCATCACTGCCACAGGCATGCATTAATCCCCCTCTGCATTCTTGAGGGGCTCTGACGCCAGAGGGAGTTTACCCCTGTGGCCTCCCCCATCCTCGTTTTAGAGAACCACTCACGGCTCTCTCAGTCACTTTTGGATAAGGGAAAGCCCCGATTCAAAAATCTGTTGCTGTTGGATCGCTCGTGTCCGATTCAAGCTCGAAAAAGCAGAAAAAGAAATCGTAATTCAAACTTTGTGTCCCTGTGCCAAACTGGGCCATATGTTCAGGGTGAACTCGTGCTCTAACTGGCAGCGTCTCGCTTTTAATGGGCAATTAAAGGGCTAAAGTGTAGATGCAGTCAGGCCAGACGGGACACGAATCACTGATCAAGTTATCGAGCATTATTCTTTTGTCACACAGGTTAGGACATCATCTGAGCAACAGCACAAGAAACTGACCTCACTTTTGATAAATAGGTGAAAAAAACCAAAACCAGACAACAACTGGCTCAGCACTCACCTCCATTCATACATCACCGTCATGTCTGCTGAAGCCTTAAACTGCGACACACTGACAAGCCAAAGCCAAGACGATGCTCCAAGTCTGTCAGAGGTGGTTAGACTAGCCTGGGCCCGTCTGCTTGGTTTGCTCACTGCGGTGAAGGTTAACATAGGTAACAAAGGACCTGCCGCTCAGTAAACTGTTGGGAGTCATTACCTGAAGTAATTAATGTCCTTATTACAGACTCTCTTTGAACACAGTGGCAGGTATGAAAGACTGTTTGTTTACCTGGCGGAGATGCCAGCTCATTTGACTCACCACAAAAATGCTGACGTGACATAATTAAGTGCAACTCTAGCTGTCGTGTAGAAAACCTTTCTTAACACGGCAGCACTGATCTGTTTTCCCGGAAACAAGTGAACTCCAAACTCCAAACAAGCAGGATTATCCCTCTCCTCGTGAATGGGGGATTAACTTGTTTGAAACAAGTTTCGGGCCTGCACTGCTTTTTGGCACCGACCTTTCTTTGCAGCAGCAGCATGCAAATCCAGACCACATCACAAATGCACGACTGCAGGGATGCAATTCTTTCAGTTTAAAGTGATGATTCACCGGAGAGATTTTGGTATTCGTGTCACGCTGCCGAGCCAGCGTGTTTCAAATACACATCCTCGCCTCTACCCGAGCCGAGAGGAGTCGGCCGGCCGGCTGTAGATGGTTTGATAAAGTGGTGGAGAAGTCGGCATCGTGTCATGGACCTACATCAGAGGCCTGTAAACACAGGACCACAGGCTGGAGGGCTATATAAACCATCCATCAGGTGAAATCAGCTCTGTTTAGACATGTCTCGCTGTATTTAGACCCTATACATGTGCAAGTTTATGCACAATCACATTATTCACCATATAAACGTCCTTAACCAGTCTGCTGCCTCTAATAAGGACATATCCCACAGCACGGCTTTAGTAAACAGAGCTCACAGGCAAAGAAATGTAAATTACCGCATAAAGTAACCATCCTCTGACATCATGCTCCTCACAGAAACCGACTCTTTACTGAAGAGGAGAGCTAACAATCTCTGTTGAACTCTCTGCTGATCAAACAGAGCTGACAATAAACAAGTTATGAATCAAAGCCAAGTTGGTCGAATGTTCGGGAAAGCAGACCCACGAGTCGTCCGGTTATTAACAACCTGAACACGGAGTTTTATTGGAGGCCAAAAACAGGCTAAAGAGAACTTACAGTAACTGTTACTGTCCACGGCACAGATAAGAGGAAACAAGTGTGAGCTGGACTGTCTGCTAAACATCCTGGAAGCACTGATGATGGGTGAGACAGCTGGTAGGAGCCAGGCACACACACACACACAGACACAGATATTTTATTGAGGGCGTTACAGACTGCATGGCCCAAAATGCCAGCAATCCACTTCCTCCACAATCGGCGAATGCTGTTAGCTGCACATTGCATATGGTGGA